TTCTAGGATTCTTCTAGGTGGTTCTCACTTGGGATCTCATGTGGGGGCAGTATGATGTTGGTTGGAGCTGGAGTCATTTCAAGGCTTTCTCACTCAAGCCAGAATAGCTTCACTTGGCATCTCCAAGTGATCTGGGCTTCCTTCCAGCGTGGTGGCTGGGTTCCAAGAGCAAGTATTGTAAGACAATAAGAATAAGACATATTCTATCACTTCCCCCATACTCTATTGTTCAAGGCAGTTACAAAAGCATACTTAACATTCAAGAAGAGGAGGCAGAGAAGCATTACTGGCGGATGGAGTGTCAACATCACGTTGCAAGAATAACATGTAGCATGGGATTCACTGTGGTGACCATCTTGGGAAAATATACTGTGCTACAAATCCTGCCACTTATGTACAAGAAATGTTATATTTCTCTACTCTTCCAAATCTAATTAAATCTGTCTTGGTTTGTCTTGGTGCACCCCACTGACAGCATTGGTGGAAAGTTCAAATCCACTCATGCTCTTGTCTTCCCTTGGAGTTAAAGGAAACTCTGAGCCTTTACACAAACCAGAAATTTTGAGTAAAGTCTTTTTCTGTCCAATGGTTGGTATTTGACACTTTGCCCATAGCCAGAGTAGTCAACTTGAAGGCAAGTAGCGCTATTCATTCAGAACTGCTCCAACTGCGGTGCTTGTCCCAGCCACCTGTGTTAACCATTCAGCCATCCTCCCATTGAGAGTTCTGTCTGCAAGCTGGCCAAAGGCCTCTGCCACTTGAGGTGACTTCTACAAACTTTGTCCATGTGTCCCCAACCCTAAATCCAGCCCTACATCCTCCTTACTAATTTAGCTTTTGTTAGGTTCCATTGTAGAGAACAGAATCCCCTTGATCTGACATAAGGAGTAGAAGATTTGTTATAAGCATTAAATTGCTTTTGGAATCATTAGGAGGACTGAAGAAAGATTGTGGGCTGAGCTTTCAGGAACGCCTCTCAAAATTGCTGCTTCAGCTACTGCCGTTACAGCTTCAAAGAGGTCTGGGAAATGTAATTTTAGCATTCCCAACTGTATTAATTTGCCTGGGCTGCCATAACAAAATACTGTAGGCTGAGTGGCTTAAAGTATAGTGCTAGAGGCTAGAAGTCCCAGATCAAGGTTCGGTCAGGGTGGGCTTCTGGTGAGGCTCTCTTCCCGGCTTGGTCTGTCCTCATCTGGCCTTTCCTCTGTGTGCGCATGGAGAGAGAGAGATCTCTGGTGTCACTTCCTCTTTTTATATGACACCAGTCACAGTGGAGGTTAAGGCTTCAACATACAAATTTTGGGTGGACGCAATCCAGTCCATAACATCAACTCTCCAGGGAGGTGTAATCAAAGGAAGTCAGAATGGATATTGAGCAAACAAATTCACAATATCCATCACAGCTTTAAAAAATAAAGGCTAAGTGATTTATTGTAGCATTATATGTAGTAGCAAGTTTGGAGCAACATAAGGTCACATGGATAGGGAACTGATTAAATAAACAATGGTATATTCTCACAATGGAATATTAAACAACTAAGAACGAATAAGGGAGCTCTAAGATGAATATCTGGACTAGAAAACTCTATGATATGTTAAGTGAAAAAAACTAAGCTTAGAACACAGTGAATAGTTTACTGTCATACATGTAGCAAAGGAAATACATGAATATCTATCTACCTACCTAGCTATCTACCTATCTATCACATATCTTGATTTATTACCTATGTATGTGTGCATGTGGATGTATGGATGTAGGTAGGTATGTATTTGCTCCTATATGTATAAAATATCAATGGATGATGCACAAGAAACAGACAATATTGGTTGCCAGTGGAGAGAACTAGATGGCTGGGAGCCAGGATGAGAGGTGACATTTCATTGTGGTTTTTTTTTTGAGAAACTAGATTCTGAGATAGAGTTTGGTGTCTCCGGTGTTTCTTAGGGAGTGCCTCTGGGATCCACATCTGCGCAAGGGATCGAAAGGAATCAGGATTGACCAGAGGGAGAAGTTGACCTGTGCTCAGGGGCTGACAACAGCTTCTTCTACTCACTCCATCGAGAACTTAGGGGCTGAAATTGTTGATAAGAGTTGTTTGCTTTGGGCCAAGAGGGCCAAGCTTTTATACTCCAGCCTCGATTAGTCATTGGATGTGGGCTGTCCTGGGAAGTGTGTGAGCTTGGGAGAGAATGTTCTCTGCAACTGAGGCAATCCCTTAGGGGACTGATAGCTGAAAGCTCTCTTCTTATAGCACTCCCAGAATTTGGGCAACAAGTTTTTCCTTAAAAGGGGAGCTGGATGACACATCTCTGTGTCCCTCAGTCATGGCCTATATGATCTGACTTCTCTTGTTCGTCTCACTGATTTTGCTTCTTCCTGTTTCTTGAGTGCATCCACCATGCTCCTATCTCAAGATCTCTTCCTTTACTCTTCCTCTGTCTTAATTGTTCCTTCCTTAGATAACTGTATGGCTCATACTTGCTCTTCCTTCAGATTTCTGCTGAAATATCTTATCCAAGAGAGCATTCATGGCCACCTTAACCAAGACAGTATGCCTTCATCAGCGTCCTATCATGTCCGTTTCTTTAACTTGCTTTACTTCTTTTTCTAACACCCAGCGTCCTCCTCCGCCCCTGCTCTCTCTCTCTATGTATATATATTGGTCTCTCCCACACTATTTTGTGTACTGTTGTAACCTCAGTGCCTAAGATAATATAGTAACAGACATATAGTAGGCTCTCAACAAATATTTATTAGAATCAGACACTGTGCTGGGTTCTAAGATAAAATGGTGAGCACAAACAGAGATGAGCTCTGCCCTCAGGGAGCCTGACATTTGTATGGGGAGGCAGAATAACAAATCAATCATACAGATAATATAAAGTTGCAGTCATGAGATAGGCTACAGCGGAGAGGAATATGGTACTAGAAGAGCACGTAATAGGGATTTGACCCTGTCGGGAAGGGCGTGGAAAGCTTTTGTGAAGAAGTGATGTGTGAGCTGAAGTCTGAAGGATGAATAGATTTGGACTAGGTAAAGGAAGGTGAGAGAAGCAGATTTATCTTGTGAAAAGATGGCTCTGTATTCATTGAGGAGAATGAAGGAGAAGGGGCAAGGATGGACATCTGTAGGATTGTTAGGAAGCTACAGAAATCCTTCAGGTGAGGGGTGATAATCGTCTGACTTGAGGGTGGCCCAGGTGGTTGGGAGAAGTGTCTGGATTTGCGAATTATGTAGGAAGTACACAATAGATGAGACTTAGGTATGGGTTGTATATGGGAGATAAGGGAAAGGGAGGTGACAAAAAGGACTTCTGGGCTTCCGTATAACTGGATGGATGGTTGAGAGAGAATATTGGAAGAGGAATAAGTTTATTTTATTTTGTGATTGCATAGATTGTCTATTTAAAACCCAAATTTTCTTGTTAACTTATCTCAAAATGCGTTTATTTGGGAATAGCCAAAAGAATTGCAATTTGGGATATGCATGCTATGGCAAACCATAGGGAAATCCAGAAAACAAAAGAGGGGAGCTTCCTTTATAGAGGAAAGGGGGAGTAGGGGGGGCTGTTCTAAACAGAAGACCACTGGAGAAAAGTAGCAGTTCAGGCCGGCAATGGCTTCTCATTGGCTGAGCTGCGGCATTTCTCATTGGCTGGGCTGTTGCCTGGTGGGGAGAAAAATCTTCAATCAGCAGTAAAGTAGTCTTACTTCCTGTGGAAGACGCAAGCTTCCTGTCTCTTCCTGTTTGGTGTAATTGATGATGTGTGATAGGGTGTGAGAACTTCCCCTGCAGGCCTTCTTGACTCTAATTTAGTTAAGGTTTCTTTTATTAATTTCCACAGTATATGGGAGAAGAAAGTGAGAGAGAAGATTTTGATTTTTGACATTTTGGTTTGGAGGTGTTATTGAAACCATTAGCATGAGATGTCAAGTAGGCCATTGGTTATAAGAGTGAAAAGCTCAGAAATGTAGCCTGCGCTGGAGATAGAAATTTGTGAGTTGTCTGTGGAGGTGATATTTTAAAATGTGAGAGTGAATGAGATTGCCTAGACAGAGAACATAGCAGGATAAGAGGAGCAGGTCTAGGAGGAATCTCAACGTTTAGTGAAGACCAGGCTTGTAAAACAGACTAACAGAACTGACTAGAGATGTTGAAGGAAAATGGAGAGCGTGATGTCACCTCAAAAGAGTGTTTCTAGAAGAAAGGAGTTCTCAGCGGTATCAAAACTCCTAAAAAAGAACTTGGGAACTGAAAAATACCAATTATGCACTAACAACATGGTGATTATCGGTGATAAAATGAAAACACTGTAAATTAAAAAAAAAAGAAAAGAAAGAAAAAGAAAGCTGAAGGTAGGAGAATTGAGAGATTGGTTGATAGTGTAAGGATTCCAAGGTGGGAAGGAAAGTGATTGCCAGTAAACAGTTCGTTTGAAATGCGGAGGACCAATGCTCTGTTCTAACAGGAGGGAAGAAAGAGAGTGGCAGGGGTGCAGACCTAAGTAGATTTGTGTTTAAGATGGGAGAGATGAAGGGATTGGCTTCCATTTTCTTCATAATGAAAGAGGAGAGTTTACCTGCTTCTCCAAGTGTTGCTAATAACAGTGCCTTGTAAACTTATTGGTTTATTTGTGGATGGATGCCTCAGCTCTTCACGGATTTCTAAATCTACATCCCTTTTCACAGCGGTGGGAACAGAAACAATAGGTGCTTACCAAATATTCGATTCATTTTGATTCTAATGATGATAAATCTGATGACGCCCTGATGGGAAGGAAAGTATAAATTCCAGTCGGGCCCTGTTATAAGGCGCCTGACAAATGTGAGGAATGTGAATCGCAGTCGGCAAACGACAGACAGCACATGGAAAGGAAATCCACCTGCACGCTCCTCCTGGTGCGGGACCCTAAGGGTTAACATCAACGAGAGCCGGCCATCGCTGCGTCCTAGAGAGGCTCTGGCAAAGCCTGCCGGGTAAGATAGGGCGACTTCCTCTTTCTGGCCTCCGGGTTTGAGAGCTGGGGACCGTGGGTTGGTGGGGTGAGAAGGCTTGGGGGGGGAGCTGGCTCCTTCCTCCGGGACAGCTGGGCCTGCTGGGGGTGCAGGGCGCCTTGTGTGTAGCCCCCAGAACAGTGAGTTCCTTCTCGGGGGGAAGGGAGCCGCGGGCTGCGGGCAGGAGGATGGAATCTGCACCGCCCCGGCTGCCGCGTGCGTCCCGGGGAGGGAGCCGGCCGCGGCGAGGGGCACAGCCGCAGCATCTCGCCGCACGGGCCACCGCGCCTCCCTCGCCCGCCGGGTCCCTTAAAGAATCTCGTTGGCAGGAGACGATCTGGAGCTTGGTCTCGCAGTGCACCGCAACCTGTGCTCCCTGCCAACGGTTCTTAAAGCTTCAGGCGGTGCTTTTTCCTTGGAAGACTTTGTAATCCAAAGCACGGCCCCACCTCACCATCTCTTTCCCCTAGGACAATGAAAACAGCCCTTCTCTGGGGAGCGACATGTTAAGGACAGCCTTTTAATACTAGTTAGGCCCTGAGTTTGCTACCGTTTTCCTGAGCCGGTGTTCCTTGGGGCCCCTCTACTACCAAAACTAATAATTAATTAGCCAGGAAAATGGTGGCACGGTTATCTGTTACCCAGACTTGCTTTCTTTGTAAAGAGTTCGGTAGAAATTTGTAACTCGGATAGCAAAACATATTTGAACAACTTTCCCTCTTTTTTTTTTTTTTGCATTCAGGTTTACAGCTTTGTTTCCACTTAAATACCGGGGATATTTGTAATTTAGACTAGTTTCACCTTTTCTTATAGCACATCCCTAATTGCTGAGAGTGCTTATAGGGAATGCCAACTCTCTTTGGTTTAAGATCTGGGGATGTGAATCTTTTCTAAAAATCCAGTCAAAATATTCCAAAAAAAGGTCCTGATCATTTGCAGTATGCCCAGCCCTACTTTCTGGTCTAGATAATAGATACGAGTGTGAAAGCCAGTGTCCAAACAGGCTTGGGACTGAACCCGCCCTCCTACCTTCTGGTTGTGTTACCTTGGAAAGTTTCTTAATGTCTTTTTTGTCCTATGACAAAACTATAACATGCTGGTAATTGTTTATACACCTGCAAGGGCTATTGTGAAAATTAAATTAGAAATGTTACGTGTATTTCATTCACTGCCTGGCACATAATAGACAGTAATAGAGTGGAAGTTATAAGTACACCAGTTTTGGTTGGTTTTCCATATGCATGCCTCTGTATATCCTTTTGGGCACTCATTTTTCCTGAATTATGCTGTTCTTTATAACCTGAAATGGATGCCAAGTCCATATGTCACTGCCTTCCAGCGATAGATTACATTTTCCAGTCCCTTAAGGTAGGTCAGGGATTGTAGTTGGCTCCAAAGATAAAGTTTAGGCTGAAAGAGATATTGTGATTATGATGACTTAGAGAGTAAGAGGCAAGGAAGAGGTCCCTTGTTAGCCTCTTTTTTTTTTTTTTTTTTTTTTTGCTGGGAAAGATTCACCCTGAGCTAACATCCATTGCCAATCTTCCTTTTTTTCCCCCTTGCCCAAGCCCCAGTACATAGTTGTATATTTTACTTGTAAGTCCTGCTGGTTCTTCTATGTGAACCTCTGCAACAACATGGCTGCTGACAGATGAGTGGTGTGGTTCTGAGCCTAAGAACTGCGCCCAGGCTGCTGAAGCAGAGCGTGCTGAACTTTCACCACTAGGTTATCAGGGCTGGCTTTAGCATCCCTTTTATATGTACTGGTTATTGGCTATAGTGATTCTAACCCTGCTTTGTCCTAATTTCTTGTTACTGGTGTGTAAAACCTAACTTTCTTTTGAAATTAACTTCAAAGTTTTTGGCCTGTCAAGTATCAAGTTATTCTTTCTACACAGGGTGCTTTCTCTTTAGCTGCTTCTTATCCTTGCAGATTGATTCCTTGAGGTCTGTTTATTGGTGACTTTTCCCAAAAACAACTTTGTTTTTTCAATTAAAAGTGTTTCTAAGCTCTGAGTGGACAATGAGTATTAGTATTCATTCTATTTTTGAAGCTCGATCCTCAGACTTTAATGTGAAGGTTTACTTTTTTTGTTATTTCCTTAGCAAAGGTAAATTAGGTTAACCCTTAATTGTAAACACTTGTTCATGAGATATGATTTTTCTAAAAGAACATCTAAAAACTGTGTTTCTTATTTTCACTATGGTCCACAGAACATTCTGTGCCTACAGTTGTTATGTTGCTATGGCTGGAAAGGAAAGAAGAAGAGGAAATTTTAACAAATGCCTCCAAACATAACCTGTTTCCTTCCGCAGGATTTCTGATCCCTAATCTGGCTGTGATCATTGTGATGGAGCAAGAGCAAAAACTGTTAGTCTCAGATTCTAATGGCTTCATGGAGAGGGAGAGCTTGAAAAGCCCTTTTACAGGTGAGGGATCAAGAAGATGGTCTGAATCCTTTGGGAATTCATTATAAGATGTGCTATAGAGTCTGTAGAAAGAACAGGGCATTAGAATGAGACAAACTTTAATTTGATTCCTTGCTTGTCACTTACAAGCTATATTTATTCTTTTTTTTTAAAGATTTTATTTTTCCTTTTTCTCCCCAAAGTCCCCCAGTACATAGTTGTGTATTTTTAGTTGTGGGTCCTTCTAGTTGTGGCATGTGGGATGCCACCTCAGCATGGCCTGATGAGCGGTGCCATGTCCGTGCCTAGGGTCTGAATGGCCAAAACCCTGGGCCGCCAAAGTGGAGTGCATGAACTTAACCACTCGGCCACACGGCCAGCCCCCTATATTTATTCTTATAGCCTAAATTTTCTCATCTTTAAGAAAAATGAATGGTAATATCCGTCTCATGTATTTTTGAGGATTAATGATATATAATATGGAAAGCTACTATTAATAAATAGTGGGTATTGTTCTTTCTATATTTGCTCAGATTTTAACTTAGGTATTGTCTGGTTTTCACCTCAGCTGGTGTTCTGTTCAGTGTCTCCCCTCCTCAGATCCCCTTTTTTCTTTTAAATCTTCTAGAGTAAAGTGATGAACTGATGAACACACAGAGTAAAAGAAGTAAAACTAGCTTTAAAAACATTTTTTTAATATAAAGTAACTTGAGATTTTACTTTGTTGTTCTCTCTCTTCCACTGCCATTCAGAATTTCCTTCCCCGGCAGAGATTAGGAAATATGTTTAGAATATCTGTTTATTCTTGCAGGAGATGAAAGTGAGAATAATTTGGAAACTGTTCAACACAATAACTCTAAGGCAGATACACTTAAAGAGCGAGCCTCAAAATGGTCTAAAAGAGATGGCCCACAAAATTGTAAGCATGTGGATACAAAAGAAACACCATTGACATGGTCCCAAGGAGATGACATTTGGTGTGGTGATTCCTATGAGAATGATGGCAGATCAGAGAATCAGGGAAATTCTACAGGAAAAGAGGAGGAAAAACCAAGTCCCCAGGGATGGGACCCTGGAGAACACACCAGTGCCTCTGTCCAGCAGAATTCATCCTTTGGAGACAAACCCTACAAATGTTCCGAATGTTGGAAAAGCTTCAATAATAGTTCTCATTTGCGTACTCACCAGAGGACCCACTCAGGAGAGAAACCTTATAAATGCTCTGAGTGTGGGAAATGCTTTAGTAACAGCTCTCACCTGATTCAGCATCTGAGAACACACACGGGAGAGAAGCCCTACCAGTGTGGTGAATGTGGGAAAAGCTTCAGCAATACCTCTCATCTTATTATCCATGAGAGAACTCACACGGGAGAGAAACCCTATAAATGTCCTGAGTGTGGGAAGAGTTTCAGTAGCAGCTCTCATCTTATTCAGCATCACAGATCCCATACAGGTGAAAAACCATATGAATGTCCTGTCTGTGGGAAATGCTTCAGCCACAGTTATGTCCTAATAGAACATCAGAGGACTCACACCGGAGAAAAACCTTATAAGTGCCCCGATTGTGGAAAGAGTTTTAGTCAGAGTTCTAGCCTGATTCGCCACCAGCGGACACATACGGGTGAGAAGCCCTATAGATGTCTTGAGTGTGGAAAAAGCTTTGGTTGTAATTCTACTCTGATAAAGCATCAGAGAATACATACAGGAGAAAAGCCCTATCAGTGTACAGAATGTGGGAAGAACTTCAGTCGAAGTTCAAACCTTATCACACACCAGAAAACACACACAGGAGAGAAATCCTATGAAAGTTCTGAATATGAGGAAAGTTTGAGTCAGAACTGCAGTGTGATAGAAGAATGCAGAATCCAGCCAGGAGAGAAACCATATAAATGTTGTGAATGTGGAAAGAGTTTTGGCCTCAGCTCCCATCTCATTAGACATCAGAGAACACATACAGGAGAAAAACCTTACAGATGTTCTGAGTGTTGGAAAACTTTTAGTCAGAGTTCCACCCTGGTGATTCACCAAAGGACACACACAGGAGAGAAACCTTATAAATGTCCTGATTGTGGTGAGTGCTTCAGCCAAAGCTTTAACCTTATCAGGCACCGGAGGACCCATATAGGAGAAAAACCTTACAAATGCACTGACTGTGAGAAATGCTTCAGCAGAAGTGCCTACCTCAGTCAGCATCGGAAAACTCACATAGAAAGGTCTTTTGAGTCTCCTGGAGTTGAAGATTTTCCTCATCGGAAAACTCACATAGAAAGGTCTTTTGAGTCTCCTGGAGTTGAAGATTTTCCTCATGGATGGACTTGGAAAACCTGTTCAGGGGAAATGGCCCTCATCTCTTCATTTTCAGTCCCCAATTCATCTTCCTCTTGAGTCCCAAAGCTTGTCTTTTTTTCGTTTCTTATTGGACCATTACAATTAAAGTGTTCTCTGATCATGGTGCTACAAAGTTTCCTCAGTCTGTTTGTCAAAATGTCTGGAAAAAGTCAACCTCCCAGTTTAGTCGATGGGGAGACCCAGATCACCAGATAAGCTTCAAAGGAAAACATAAAGAGAAATTTTGGGAGTAAGGACTCCTGGGAGCTTGAATGTGAGATCGCCATTGCATTTCCTTATTTCCTATTGCCTGATTGGGTGGTGATAAATCATTACTGGCCTCAGGGATTTACCTAGAAAAAGATTCTTCTTTACAAATAATGTGATTTCCTGGCTGGTTTGTTGAGGGTCATGGAAGAAAAGACTCATTTTTCCAAATGCATTTTTATTTGCTGAAATTTAACGTTTGTAGTATCTAGAACTGTACTGGCCTATACTGTAGCCACTAGCCACATGTGGCTATTTAGATTTAAATTTATATTAATTAAGATTAAATGAAATTTTAAATCCAGTTCTTTTGTTGTCTTAGCCACTTGCTAAGTATTCAGTAGCCACATGTGACTTGTGGCTGCTGTATTGGATATCATAAAAAGTTCTTTCTTGGGGCCAGCCTGGCAGCGCAGAGGTTAAGTTCGCACATTCTACTTTGGTAGCCCAGGGTTTGCCGGATCAGATCCTGGGTGTGGACCTATGCACCACGTGTCAAGCCATGCTGTGGCAGGCATCCCACATAGAAAGTAGAGGAAGATGGGCACAGATGCTAGCTCAGGGCCAGTCTTCCTCAGCAAAAAAAGAAGAGGATTGGCAGCAGATGTTAGCTCAGGGCTAATCTTCCTCAAAAAAAAAAGTTCTCTCTTTCAAGTTCATCATTCTTGACAGGCTCATAAATATTTCCTATAAGACTGTAGGGAATGTGCCATGGGGTTCTGCTCACCAAGAGGAGTTGCAGTATAGAGTAGAAATGGGATAGAGTTTTGAAGGCGCTGGGTCTAGAGATTGCCTATTCTGATGACTGTACGTTTTATGTTCCACGCAGTTATCTAGTGATATGATCCCATTGTCTTGGCCAAAGCCAGATTAGGAGGTAGGATTCTTGAATTCTGTTTAAAAATTTTTGACAAATAGTCCTTTCCTTTCAGTTTTTCCATGACATAATTCCTGGTCAGATCAGAAACTAGGTTCTTTCTCTAATAATCAACCCACTGAGACTGAGCCAGTGTCCAGGGATGGTTTGAGATTCCTTAATTCTCGTCTTGGCACTTTTCTCTTGCCTCTTGATTTATGTGGTGTGTGGATCTGATAACTGAGACCCCATCGTCCCTGCTTGTGTGTTCAATGGGAATGATGCTTTGTAATGTATTAAGATATTTCCTATGCTCCAACCCTCATTTTTTTCTTGCTAGTGCAAAAGGTAGATGTGTAGGAAGGCCAAGACTCCTCAGTTGCCCAAGATTTCATCTCATTTTTGGATTCCAAATATATTCTATGAAAAATATGAAGAGATGCAAGTTAGGGATGTGGAGCCAGAAAGGGCCAGTTACAGCCACTGCAAAGGACATCCCTAGTGGGTGGCTGAATTGCATAGAGATTATTTCTTCTTTCATGATTATAGTACAACTGATACTGGTGAGGCAATTGTGTCTTTTTGTATTGTTATAGGATTAAAAAATAAATCAAAAGCTAACAAATAAAGGTATTTAAGAAGTATTCAAAGTGATTTTCTGCTTTCAAAAAGGTGGAGAACATTATTAGGCATCATTGGCTTTTATGTCACCCTAGCTGAAGCATCTTTTAACTTTTGTATATTATGTAGTATTGCCCAAATTGTCTTAAACTAACATCTGAGGGCAAATGTTTACTGTTTTTTTTACTACAGACAACTAAAAGTTTGATAATTAAATTTGGGCATTTGCTATTGAGGCTGAAATTCAATTGCACGGCAGTAGCGTTGGGGTGGTGTGCAGTCACTGATCACATTATGTGTGGCAAGTAACCACTCTGGATCTGTGTCCTCATCTGTAAAGCAGAGATAATGCCTGCCTCCAGGGTTTCTGTAAGGGCTAAATAAATGTTTGCAAAGCACCTAGCACAGTGCTTAAAATATAACAGGATCTGAATAAATGGTAGTTGGTTATTATTCATTGAAACAAATTGAACATTGTCCTGCACACATTTTCAGAGGTAGCAGTACAGCCCCAAACTTAGCCTACTTGCAGATTCTTTATCACCAACCTCAGGAGCCCTGAGGAATAGGTATTGTAAAAAGCACAAGACTACATTGTGTTTCCAGACTGTTGAAAACACTTTTCTTTGATTCAGCTTATTGAAGTTTTTTGTTGTTATTCATGAAACAAAGGATTTGATTTAAGTTGGGAAGGAACAAACTAGGAAGTTCAATTTAAGTTAATTTGCATCTGAAGCGATTAACAACATGTACAATTTATGTTCTATCACTATCACCTACACTATGTTTTATGACTGCCCACAATTACATAAAACCTATTTCACAAACCTTGATGTCTACAGGAACATAGATGTGCACATTTTAGATGGGTTAAGATGGGCTCTATTAGTAAAACAATTTGGCAAGAATCATTGTCTCTTTGGATTGAAAACTAGGAAAACAGAGATTTGTCACTTATGATGGAGAACATAACATAGACAAATTTAATTATGTTTGATGCCTTTGCCTCAGTGTCATTAATCAGCAAATAGGTTGTTTGTTTAGCTCCCCAAGAAGTAAATATTCCATATTCTCTATTTTTCTTGCCAGCTCAAAGGGTTCAGCACCTGAGTGAATAAAGCATTCTTATTTACAAGTGATTTGTTTCATAGTTTCTTTTTAATTAGAAGTAAGACTCCTGTATTCATTTTTTCCCACTTAAAGAAGGGGCTTGTGTTTTTTTCCCTACAATGGAATGGGGGAATCCATGTTAATGCATATACTCACAAATGTACCAGGAACTCACTCCCTAGTTGCTGTGTAGCCTACCAGAAGGCACGCAAACCTAAGTCTCTATAATAGTACCTGAGATAAAGGTCTGCTCCCATCATTCCACGTCATCCCAGTTGGGTCTACCAAATGAGTCTTCTCCTTAGTGCTGGAGAAGTTTCCTCACTGATGGTGAGAGGTAGTGGACTATGGGCTGTGGCTATTGCCCCTTATATATTAGTCCAACGGATTCATCTTTGCCAGTCTCTCACTTTCTGAAATCATAGTACTGACAAAACTATCATTGTTTCTTTATTCTGTATTTGAGTTTATGTAATTCCTTTCAAGGAGTACAATCACTTGTTCATTCAACAAAAATTTACTTGATGCCTCATGCGTGTTTAGCAGAGGTCAAATGATGGCAGGAGGGGCAGATGTAAGGATAGACTAGTAGTAGGAAAATGTGCAGCTTTTCAGATGACCACTTTCTCCTTGCCAACTCTTGAACTATACTTATTATGCTGAACCCTCCATTTTCAAATTTAATAATTTGATAATCTGAGGAGCTAGAGATAACCATAATTAAAATGGGTTAAGTTTGTTCTGTGAAAACACAAACCCAGTGAGTTTGACACAGTGCTTTGCACATAGTGGTGCTCAATAGTTGCTGAGCAGTGTCATATGCTTATATGTTTTATGCTAATATTTAAGTATACATTCTTCCAGGATAGGCATTCCTACTAGACTGTCAACTCCTTGAGGGCAGACAATGGATTCCAGTTTTGTAATCTCAAAGCCCGACATAGAGCCTGGCATGTGAAGTGTTTATTGGTTTTGGTTGAGGGGTCTTCATCAATGGATGAAGTCTACTGGATTAGGCTGTATAGTCTCAGCATCTTCCCAGGCCCCTTTAACACCATAACTTGTCTATTCCACAGAGGCTGGGTTGGCTTGGAAGTGAAAATAGCTGCCCTAGGAGGCTGGGTCTATCCTCATATTAACCCTAGAGGACCCTTAAAATATCCTAATTGTTCAGAATCCTGTGGAGGTAAGACCTGGGCTTTGGATGCAGACTGTCCAGGACAGGCTCGAAACCTGTTTCAGATTCATGTTTCAATCACTTACCAGCTTTGTACTCTGTACTTACCTTGTTAGATTTGGTAAGCAGTGAATGAGGTGAGGTAACTGGCAATAATAGATGTGAAGGAAATACTGTTTTCCTTTCCTGTCCATCTTTGTTTGCTTATAATTTTGCCAAGCATAGGCTCTAGGTGCAGAAATGTTTAATCACTTCTTGAATTGATTATTTCTTGGTTTCTAAAATAAAGGTATTACTAACATGTAGCTCGTGTGCTTGTTGTGAGGATCAGTGAGATAACATGTGTAATGTGCTTAGCATTGTTGTTACATAGTAATCATGCAACGTTAGCTATTATTACCATCACAAAGTGGCTCTAACCCACCACGGGCTTTTGGATCATGTTTGAAGGTGGTCTCAGAGACATGGGTGTCCCCTGGGGCCACTGAAACGGTGCAATCCTTTTGTTACTGTTCACCTCATGAAGGTGAAGGAGCATGACTAAAAGTGTGTAACAAGCTGAGTATGTAAGCCAATAATGTAGCACCTCATTGTTGTAATATGGCAGGTATTTGGGCAACTATTGTCTTTTCTGTTTAAAAATTTACCCTTCCTTTCACTCTCCTATCTCTTATTTCCTTTCTGTTCTCTTTTACCTCTCTCTAGCCCTAACCTCTTCTGCCTTGTCCATCCATATTCTAACCCAAACCTAGGCTTTCCTCCCCCGCTCCCCCACAGTGAAGTAGGAATCAATTCAAGGCTAAGGATGGTCCAAATGCTTGGTTATAAACAGATACAGATGGAAACAGGATGCCTGGCAATCATGACATCATGGGCAAGCAGCTGCTTACAAGCAGAGGTCACTTATGGATGCTAAGACAGCCAGGTTGCCGATGTAACATTGCCTGACTGGTAAAATCGGTAGATATTCTAGGAGTTGACACAGTGAGGGATGAAGTGGAAGCTTGGGTTGAAAAAGGACCATGATTAATTTTGAGCCATACTAAGTCATATGGATAGTCAGATTAACGAAAATATTAATTAGACTGACAAACACAGGTGAAAGATTTTTTCCCCTTAAAATAGCTTACTTTCTGATCATAAAAATAATACTTGTTAATTGTAAATATACAAAGAAGTATAAAATAGGAAATACATAAAAGTATGAAGACCCAAATAAAAAGGATCCACAATCATCTTCTCCAGAGATCACTCACCATGAAAATTCTGGGATCTTTCCCAATAACCTTTCTTCTAAGCATGTATTTGAACAAATACTTTTAAAAATTGGATTGTATGGTATATATAAACATTCTTGTGTCTTGATTTTTTTCCTACTCTTACATCATTTGTCAATTTACTTGTTTTAAATCATGAGGTTTTTAATGGCTTCATATTACACTGAGTGATGTACCATAAGAATTTAATTGTTCTGATGTTAGATGTTTATGTTGTTTCTAGTTGTTTGCTATTAAAAATAACACTACTGTGAACAGAGTTGTTTTGGTTGTTGTTATTCTGGTATTGTGGTTATGACTGTTTGGTTTTGCTTTTTTATGTTTTGTTGGTACACAAATCCTAGTGTATATCTCTATTTTCTTAGAGTGAGTTCCCAAAAGTGAGATTATTGAATCAAAGGGCTTAAGAGTTTTTAAAGGCATATTCCTTAACCGCTTCCCAGAAATGTTTACCAATTTAAGTCACTCCAGTGAAATAAATTTGTTAACATCTTGGGAGGGGGTGGAGACAAAAACAGGTAATTCCAGGTGAATACATTTAAATGATGAAAACCTCTTTTAAAGCAGCTTGTTTAGATAATCTTTCTCCTCTTTGTTTAAACCCCACTTCCCCTCTCCTGGCTTAGGATCAGCTGAGAGTCACTTTGGGTGGAATCATTTTACGAACTTCTTACTTTTCCTCGTGTGGCCCTAGGCACAATTCTGGTAGATGTTACTAGAAGCTGCTCTAAGAATGAGGGAAGTGCTATGAGGCCCAAAGTCTGGATGTACTGAGGGGAAGAATGGGTGAGGAAGGGGCTGGCTGGTTAGTTCAGTGCCTATTGCCGCCTGAATCAGAAAATGCAGAGCACCCCAAATCTAGGAAACTGCGGTAAACTCAGGTTTGACAAACAGATGTGTATCTTCATTTCTAAAATTGTCGCTGAGGAAAAAGCAGAATGGAGGCTTACGAAAAGATTCTAAGTTAGACTGCTCAGAATAGTAGAATCCTCATCTTTCACATCCTACTGCCATCAAGAATTCAGCGAAAAGCTTGTATTGTCAGCTGCAGGCACTAGTGTCTTACTAAGGAAAAAAAAACCACAGTGTTGGGGAGGGAAAAAGAAATGTAATGTGTGGTCACTGCCATTGGCAGTTAGAGGTTATACTTGGTTACTCCTACTAATTCTTCAGACCTCAGCTTAAAAGTAACTTCCTCTGGTAGACTTTCCTTAACCTCCAGGTTAGTTTATATCGTCTTACCCTCCAGAGCAACAAGTACTTGCTCTTTTTTGGACACATATGACATCTTTAATAACCTGTGTGCTACTGTCTTTTTCATTAAACTCTAAACTCCCAAATGACAGGTACTGTGTCTGCTCTGTCCACTGCTTTATTCCCATACCAAGCACAGTGCCCGACAGGAAGTATACATTTGATACTTACTACATTGAATTGGACTGATGTATTCTCTAATTGTGGCTTTATGAGCAGGATTCAAGGAATAAGACCCAGATTAATCATCGTCTCTTTCTCTTCAGGTTTTCATAACTCCACCTCTTGAAATGAAAACAAATTTCCAAATTAGCATAATTGGCTCCATCATTTGTAACTAGAATTTTGCAAAAGATTATGTAAGTGCTGACGGGATGAAGAATTAAATGACTGATGTTAAACGTCTTTTTGGACGAGGTGAATGATGAGCAAGAAAGTTTTGAGAGTTTTGATCTAATGTGTTACAAATAAAAACATTAGTGGAAAAGGAATTGCTTAGTTTGGTGCCAAAAAAAAAAATGGGATAAAATGAAGAAAGGAAAGGTTGTATCCAACACATTGAAAAATGTTTACCATATACGAAATTCTGAGTATACGGCTACAAATAAGACCTGGCCCTTGCCTTAAGGAGTTGAATCTCTTGAAAAAGCTATGTGTAAATTGATAATTATAATACGAATTGGTGACTGCTATGACAAAGAGGTGGAGTTATGAAAACTTGAAGAGAAAGAGGTGATGTTTAATCCGGGTCTTAAAGATGGACAGTTGAAGAAAGGAGGGCAAACCTTTCTGCACTGAGAACGACACTTGAAAAGGCGCAAGTCCAGGTCTGGCATGCCAAATTAGGCTAAAAGAGACAACAGAGGCGTCTAAACAACTGAATGAAAAGATCAGATGTGCTTTTTGTTTTGTTTTATGGTAATTAGATCTTTATGTGGGGAGAAAAAAAATGCATTCTAGGCAAACATTCCTAGATTCCTGAGCCAGATTTCCTGGGCTTGGAGTCAGGGTCTGCTATCACTAGCTGTGTGACCACTTTTCTGTATTATCAGTTTCCTTGTCTGTAAAATGGGATTAAAAACAGTACCTGCCTGATAGAGTGGCGGTGAGGACAAAATGAGCTAATCTATGAGAAAAGCATTTAGAACACTGCCTATACTATATAAGTCTCAGCTCTTGCCATGATTATGAAAGTATTTCTCATCGGCTCACTCTATAGTTTATTACTTTCTGCCGCTAAATGACTGATTTGGGATCGTATTTAATTGCCTTCACTTCAGGCCTGAGTGACAGATTTTTGTTCCTAAATAAGTGCCAAGATTCAAATACACTTAAGTGATGGTTATATAGCCCTTAATTCAGTTCAGAAAGTCCAGGCATTCAATGTGCCCATGCTAGGTATTACAAATGCTCTTTTTGCCCCAAATTTGGAAGTGGATCTTGAACTGACTGTAAACACGCAAAGAAAGTGGCTTTCAAAAGATTAAAAAATTACCTAGTTAATAAGAAAAAAGTCCTCTTATGATAATCTCCAGTATAGGTAATCAAGTAACAATCAATCATCTCAGTGATATTGTATTCTGATCTATTAGAGTCAGCTCAAGCCTTCTACCATTTTAGCAATATAGGAACTCACAGACACCAACAAGCAGTTTACTGAAGAATTCTCTTCAGTCAAATTTGTTGATACCATTGAGGAACATTCTCAGAGAAAGAATCAAAGTCTTGGTTTTATAACGGAGGAAAGCAGTTATTGATAATTAGGAGTATTGGGGAACACATAATTTGGAGATCAGAAGTTTAACTTTTGGTTTTATGACTTATAAGCTGTGATTTGGCCAAGCCACTTAACCTCTTTAAGTTTCGTTTTCATTATTTTTAAAATCAAGGTGGTTCTGAGGGTCAGACGATGCCTGTGAAAGTGTTTTGACATATAATTACTTTATTAGCAGATAAAACACATAATATTTGGGGTAAAAAAATGATGACAGGTGCCATAATTTCTTAAACCCAGCAAAGCGTCTGGTATAGAATTGCAAGGAACATTCGATTTCATGAAGATATTGCCCTCTTTCCCGAGGGGTTGCCTAACTTTCGATTTGTCCAGGGTCACAAAGCTGGTTAGTGGCAGCCAGAGTCTACTCTTCCTACTATACCACTGTCATTCATCATTCATTTATTCCTTAAATACATTTTTATGGAGGATAAATTAAGTACAAAACATTGTGCTAAGTGCTGTGGGTGATTCTGATTCATCAGACACAGATCCTTCCTTGAAAGATCAAAGGAATTAGTGGGATAAGACTCAAACACAAGTGTACAGTAAGAGATTACAACAAGATGTGAATAAAATAGCATGTGACTTGGTCCAGGTCAATGGAGACAGTGGGAGAGGGGACAATAAAGCCGTGCTCCAAATGTCACAAAGGACTTCTACATAAGTAACAGGGTTTAAAGCAGGCAGTCCAGGGTTAAGCAACAGCGCGAGCAAAGGCACTAGGTTTAGGCCTCAATAACTTCTATTAAAGTTTGATCATTTCATAGCAAGGACCGTCTCTCACCCTGACCCCTTGCACACTTTTGTTCCCTAGAGAATGCTTGTCCTGGACACAATTCACTCAACTACCTCTGGAGGCCAACCCTGACTCCCTCCAGGCCGAGGGACGGCTGCTTCCTGTTTTCCTGTCCATCCACTCTCTCTAGGGCACTTATGCCACCTCTATGTATTTTACTTCTTTGCCCCAGTAACCCCCTCCCCTAGTGTCTCATCTTGAGAGAATAGGAGGTACGCGTATCACTGTATCTTTAGCCCGAGCACAGCGACAAGCAGATGTCGCCCAACTTTCGGGCGAAGGAAACACCTAGCACGTCCTCTCCTCCTTTCTTCTTCTGGCAAACGTCCGCCTACTCCTCCCAGATTCAGCTTGAAAGTCACGTTCTCCATACGCCAGGACCTCTCTCTACCGCCCCTTACACACACAGCATAGAAAGGCTGTGCCGGATTCTTCTCTAGGACCCCAGAGCCTGGCCGGGAGTAAGCGCTCAATAAATGCTCGCGGAATGAATAGGAACGTTCCAACACTAGGCGGGGAAGCTCCAGGCAGGGGATTCCTCGAAACTAGCTCCACGTCGCCTCGGGTATGACGGCGGAGGCTGGAGCTGCGGCGCGTAGTCAGATCGCAGAACCCGGGGCACGACCCCCTCTGCCCCACCCCCTCCGACCCACCCCCTCCGGAGCCGGCCAAGACCTGCCCGCCCGCCCAGCAGGCAGACGGCCCCCATCCCCACGCCCCCACTCCACACCACGCAACATCGCCCTAGCGCCTCTCCGCGCGGGCCGCGCCGCCTGCGATTGGCCAAACGCGGCATAGCGCCATCTCGGCCTACCGCGCGGTGCGTGCCCTCATTGGCTGGCGGCGGCAGTGGGCGGGGCCTGCGCGCGGGGCGCACGGGGTGGGCGGGGCGGGGCAGCTCGCCCCCTGGAGCTCCGCCCCCTGGTCCCTCACCTGGGCCGAGCCCTCCGGCCGCTGAGGTGCGCGGAACCCCGCTAGGAGCGAACGGCGCGCGGCACTCTGGTTACTGCGGAAGCGCCGCGCTGGGGAGGCAGCCGCCGCCGGGGACGGATGCTGAGGTGGAGGCTGTCGGGAGCCGCCGCCCGCTGAGGGACGCTCTCTAGAGATCGCCGTTCCTGGGGGGGACGCCAAGTCGCCGACCGGAAGGGTCTGGGGCCGGTGCGTCGGGAGCCACTGCCGAGGAGGAAGTCTCGAGGTAGGGGCTGCGTCTGCCCGCCCCGAGCCCGCCCGGTCCTGGGTCCGAGGCCGTCCTCGGCTGCGGAGGGCAGCCCGGCCGTGTGGGTGGAGGAGGCTCCGCCTGGGCGCCGCCCGCCGTCTCCGCGCCGTCCCACCCACCGGGGCCTCGCGGGCGCGAGAGGCGAGGCCGCAGCCATCGCAGCCGAGATAGTTCCCTGATGTCGCCCCCCGTCCCCTGCCGAGAGGTCGCCCGCCGCTGGTGACAGAGCGGCAGTGTCACAGCGCGACGAGCCGACGTCAAAACGGAAAACATCGCCCGCCGCCGCCCGCAGGGAAAACCCATCCAGAAGCAGGGGGAGGAAAAAGAAAAAAAGGAAATAAATGGATTGCCTGAAAGAGGAGAGTCTAATCGGGCGCCCTTGGGGCAGGCGAGTTTTTAAGACAGCTTTCTAAGCCCTGGACAACTTGTGGACTCCCTTTCTCCGGTTCTGTAAATTATTGATTTGAATCGTGATCCCGTGACTGTTCGCTGGCGTCTGGCCGGTTCCCCCGCGCTCTTTTTTTTTTGGTAACGCATTTTGGGGGAGAACCTCTCAAATCACCAAAACCCGACGAGGAACCAAAGGGTCTCCAGCCGCTGACTCGGGGGTCGCCGGAGGGGAGCCTGTGAACCATGTGGACTTTTCTAGGCATTGCCACTTTCACCTACTTCTACAAGAAATGCGGAGACTTCGTCACGTTGGCCAACAAGGAGCTGCTACTGTGCGTCCTGGTGTTCCTGTCGCTGGGCCTGGTGCTCTCCTATCGCTGTCGCTACCGCCCCGGGGCCCTGCTCGCGCGCCAGCAGAGCGGCTCCCAGTTCGCGCTCCTCTCCGACATCCTGTCGGCGCTGCCTCTCATTGGCTTCTTCTGGTCCAAGTCCCCCCCGGGGTCGGAGGATAAAGAGCAGCTTGGGTCTAGGAGGGTAGGTTGAACTCAAAGTGGGCGAACGACTGCGGGTCTCATTTTAAAATTAAAATTCACTCAGATGTAAATTTTCTTCTTTCAAGGGCCAAAGACAGCAGTTTAGATCCTCTGGGGTGAATTCTCATTTAATTGTTTGTTTTGTTTTGTTTTTTTCCAAGCTCCTGATTGTTTCTTGCCCAAGTCCTTGACAGTCTTAGGAATGAGGGAAAACATTTGTTTCATTTAAGCGCTGGTTGAGCCGATGCTCACTGAAATTGACTTGATTATGAATATTGGTTTGATTATGAAAGGTGAAATGAAATGTTCGAATTTGTTTTTGAAGGAGGACGCGATCACTTTCCCTGATGGGGGGGAAAAAAACCGTTTTATTTAAATCCTTGGGTAAGGATTGTATTTGTATCTGGGGAACGTGAAATCTGCTGCCGGTAAGTCCACTGCTCATAACAAGTGACAGCCGGCTGGGGAAAGTGACCGAATAGTTTGAAAAGCTGGCAGAGTGAAAATGCTCCGCACTTGGAAGTCTTGGGCAAAATGCCCTGCTCCCCCCACATCGCTGGTGCTTCGAGTAAATGAGTGTATTGATGTCCTAAGTCAGGTGAATGAATGAGTAATGTCCACGGTTCAGCCATGTTCCTCAGTCGAAGGCTGGTCTTCAAATACGCGTGAAGTTAGGATCCCTACAAAGACAGCAGAGGCGGAAGTGGAAGGAGATGAGAGATGAGAGGTCGTTGAAAGCAGAGCGTTTAGGACCTCTTGGCCGTGAGTGTTTGGACTTTTTCCCAAGAGCACTGGAGGATTTTAAGCGCGGGAGTAATAGTATTTGATCTTTCTTTTTAAAAAGAACATTGCAGTTGCTGGGCAGAGAATAGATTGTAGGGGTACGAAAACGGAAGCAGGGTTGTCAGGTAAGAGACCACAGCAGTAGGCCAATTGAAGGATGATGGCGCCTTGGAGTTAGGGTGAGTGGCCTACAAGTCACGTACCCTTTGAGGGTTCTGGATCCAGATTGTTTTACTGCGCCCACAGGACACCTTAGCAAGGCTTACAGAAGACGGGCCTTGGTTTGGAATTTTGCTCCACCATTCCTGGCCACGAGACCTTTAGCAAAAACAACAAAAAATAAGAATCAGTTCTCTCTCCTGTTAGACAGGGATGGCACTAGCCTTGCTGGTAGGGAATTAAATGATTTAATGTTTGCAAAATGCCTGGTCCCTCACTGTCTAGTAAATAGTAGCTGTGAATATCAGTCTGAAGGTGGTGCACATCTGTTAGGACCCTTGTGAGTAGTGCTGAGCTCAGTGATATGGTGGGTGTGGGCTGGAGAATGGGAAAGGAGGGAGAGCGAATCTTAAATTCTCAATTTGAAGTCTTTGGTATTGTTGTCTGAGATAACTTCCTCTCAGGGTCACTGAGCATTAATCCAGGTGGCTGGAGTGCCATTACATCATGTTGTGTAGAGAAGTTTTGGGGTAGGAAGATAGTATTGGTTCCACTTCGTGAATGCCTCAGGCTCTCTGCTTAGCTCCTAAACACCAGGGAGTTGGTAGACTGTGTTGAGCACTGAGTTCCCACTCTTCCTCTACTGACCAGACTCTGAAACACTTAACTTCCTCCAGAGTTCCTCCCCGCGTGTGTATGTGTGCGTATAAAAGGGAAAACTTAGGAAGAAAAACTAATAAAAATGTCTAAGATGACAGAACGAGCTTGTCTTGCTCTCAGAACCGTAATTTAAATATAGTCATTTGTTCTAGCCGTTAAGAAATACCCTTGGGAAGAGTAGACTCTGTCATGTTCTCCTCTGGGTAAGGGACAAAAAGGTAATTTCTCTAAGAGAAATTATAAAAAATGGAATGGACAAGGACGCAGTCCATTATAGAGGTAAAGGAAGGCTGGATGAATATTAGAATCACAGAGAATTAAAATTCTAAATGATTTTAGGTTTTATCTTCTTCCTTTTTGCCTAAGGTCTCTTATTAAAACCCCTTCAAGATGGCATTTGGTCTTACCTTAATCATTAAGGTCAGGGAACTCAAGGAAGATGATTCCTTGCAATTCTGTATCTAAAGTGTATTCATATTTGTGGATCCACATACCAAGAAAAAATACTTATTACAACGTTGCATTCATTTAAAAAAAACCCTACGGGCACTGTTACTCTCAATGGGCATAAATCTCACAAAACAGGACGTTTTCATCTTCTTAATGATCAAAGTTAAAGTTTTTACTGTCAGCCCAGCTAGTGATAGGTTTAATGTTTGTCCTTATTTGCAAATTGGAGGACCAACTGGTTGATCAGGCTCTCTTAGAGTATTAGGGGAAAAAGGAAGGGGTAAATTAAATATATTCTTATATGTTAAGGACTAAAACTGTGAACAGATTGAATCCCAAGGGACAGAGTGAGTTACTTGGTTCTTTTGGAACTTGGTTGAGTTAAAGAATTCTCGATTAATAGCTCAATAGCCAGAATTTGACAGTTTTCTGTTCTATAAAAGTGATTTTAGATTAAGATAGATTTTTCAGATGAAAATCCAGAAGAATAAAATAAAGATGAATAGTGGAAATATCTAAAAGGTGCTGAATAGTTTGCAACATAGTCGTATTAGAAGTTGTACATGATTTGCATCTGGTAGATGCTAAGTATATATTTGAAGAATTGAGTAATTAATGATATACTTTTACGTATAATGTCTTTGAATGTCTTTATAAACATTTTTTATATTAGGCCTGATGTAGATTTCTAAATATGTCTGCATAACAGCATTTTCTAAATGTACTCAGAAGACAGAATATATATTTAATTTTACTGGGATGTTATTACATTTTTATTTAACAGTATTTTGATATCATTGGTTTTTACATATGATCTGGATTTAAAATATAACAGTTCATTTGATTTGCTGATGTTTAGGATGTAGCTTTTGCCCAAGATGCAAAAGTCCAATGTGTCTGTATAGTAGTAGTTTAAGAATAACAAATGTGGCTACCATATTTCACTTTTTTTTAAACAGCACAAAAAAGGAACCAATATTTCAGAAACAACCTTAATAGGAGCAGCTACCTCTTCATTGATACCTTCTCAGAATGATCCAGAAGTTATCATCGTGGGATCTGGCGTACTTGGCTCTGCTTTGGCAGCAGTGCTTTCCAGAGATGGAAGAAAAGTGACAGTAATTGAGAGAGACTTAAAAGAGCCTGACAGGATAGTTGGAGAACTTCTGCAGCCAGGTGGTTATCATGTCCTTAAAGACCTTGGTCTTGAAGGTAGGTTCATGTTAATTTTTAGGAGTTATGTGGTATAAGCAAGCCCTCTTCACTTCAGGCTATCCTATGACTGGTAAAAAGGTATTCCATTTTATTTTCATTTATAAAAGTTACCCTACTCATTTACCAACAAATTTGCATGAAAATGAGGACAAAGGAAAAAATAAGCATTTAGTGGTATTAGATATGAAGTAGACAGATATAATAAAGTGGCTAAAAAAATTGTAATGGTCAAAATTAAGGACTGGAAAACTAAAATGAAGGCATGAAATTTAGTGAACGGTGAAGGGAACTATTTGTAGAGTGCATATTATGTGCCTGTTATAGAATCTTTTATTCAAGCATCATTCATTCATTAAATCAGTGCTTTGTAAACTCGAACTATTCATTTAGGAAATATTTATTCACTGTCTGCTTTGTGTGAGGCGCTGTACTTGGTACAAGGCTATGCTGGTGAACAAGAAAGATCAACTGTCTACTCCTGAGGATCAGAGTGAAAAATATGCTCAGGCTGTGAGTTGAGCAAGAGCTTGGTTGGCATGTGCGGTAGGCAGTATGTTGGCATAATTATGAGCATTGGTTCTGAAACTAGGTTCCCTGGGTTTGAATACCAGCTCGGGCACTTAAAAAGCTGTACGAGGGGCTGGCCCCGTGGCCGAGTGGTTAAGTTCGCGTGCTCCACTGCAGGCAGCCCAGTGTTTCGTTGGTTCGAATCCTGGGCGCGGACATGGCACTGCTCATCAAACCACGCTGAGGCAGCGTCCCACATGCCACAACTAGAAGGACCCACAACGAAGAATATACAACTATGTACCTGGGGGCTTTGGGGAGAAAAAGGAAAAAATAAAAATCTTTAAAAAAAAAAAAAAAAAAAGCTGTACGAACTTGGCTAAGTTACTTAACCTCCTATGTATCAGTTCCCTCGTCTGTAAAATGGGCGTACTAAGAGTCCTTGCCTCGTAGGTTATTATGAGGAGTAAATGAATTCATATACACAAAGCATTCAGAACGTTGCCTGGTATATAGCAGGCACTATGTAAAAGTTTGCTATTTTATTCAAGTAACTGAAGGGACGAATGCAGCTAGAAAATACTGGGTGATGGGGAAAGGAGAGTGGCTTGAGATTAAGCAGGGAGAGGTAGCCGGCAGCCACATCATGCGGGGCTTTTTAGGCACTGGAGCAGGAGTGTGACATGATCTCGTTTATTCCTCTGTAAAGTGGTTCAGACCTTTGACAGCTATTCACAATAGCAAACAGATTTTACATCCTGACTGGGTACATACATTCACGTACAAATGTGATTCAAATTTGTTTTATTTTACTTTTTAAATACTTGTCATGATTTTACCCGAGTATACAATTCACAATTTGAAGTTCATTTCATAATTTACCATCGAGTCACACCCTGCAGTTTGTAGAATGCTATTTTAAAAGAATATATGGATACAGTATGGTGAAAAGACTATGTGATTGTGATGGTGGGATAGCAAGAGTCATTGCAAGGACTGGGAACTCATTGCTAAGTCCGAATGGCAGATGATGGTGGTTTGGACTAGTATGTTAGCAGAGGATATAAAAAGAAGTGGACAGATTCTTGATAAAATTAAGAGGCAGAAATGGCATGACTTACTAAAGGATTGGTGTGAGATATGAGGAAGAGGGAGGTATTAAAAGTGATTTCTAGGTTTTTGGTTTGAGCAACTGGTAGATGGTGGTACCATTTGCTGATAAGGAGACCTGGAGAGGAACAGGCATTGGGGGGAATTTGGGGGACATACTGAGATATCCAAGTGGAGACGTCAAGTTGAACATATGAATCTAGAGTGCAAAGGAGTGGTTTGGGCTGGCTGAAGTTAGAAATTTCAGAGATGTCAGCTTATTTGTAGTACTTTAAAGCCATGGCAATGATTGAGGCCATGTAAGGAGAGCATGTAGGGAGAAAAGAGAAGACAGGATAAACCAAGTCCTGGGAAACTGGTATTTAGAGATTGGGTAGAAGAAGGAAGCCTGCAAAAGAGACTGAAGGAGCTGGTAGAATGGCAGAAGAAAGCCAGAAGGGTTCGGTGTCGGTCCGAGAGGGCAATGTTTCTAGTAGGGATTGGGTTTGTGTCAAAAAGGCAAAGAACAGCTATGTCATGGTTTGCTAATGAAGGGCCAGGTAAGATGAGTATAGAAAAACAGCTATTGGGTTTGGCAATTGGAGGTTGCTTGTCACATTGACAAGATGTTTCAGTGGAGTTGTGGAGAAAAATCCTAGACTGAAGTAAGTGGGAGATTAGAAAATTTGAGACTAGAGAACTACTTTTGAGGAGTTTTTCACTAACAGAAATCAGAAATAGGGCAGTAGTGAGATGTAGATGTGAGGATAAAGGAGGTGTGTTTTGATATTAGAGCTTGTTTCTATGGTGACAGAGATGATAAAGTAGAGAGGGAGAAACTGATGATGCAAGAGAGGAAGATGACTAAAGGAGTGACATTCATTCATTCAACAAATATTTATTAAGCATTGACCATATAACTGTAGGTACTGTTTTAGATGCTGAGGCCACAGGAGTGATCAAAACAGACAAAAATTCTAGCTCTCAGAGAGCATAGATTCTAGTGGGTAGTGTAGAGGATGGTGATAAAAGATAAATAAAATTTAGAGTACAGACAGTCCCTGACTTATGGTGGTTCAACTTAAATGATTTTTTGACTTTACGATGGTGTGAGATCGATACACGTTCAGTAGAAACCATACTTTGAATTTTGAACTTTTCCCAGGCTAGCAGTATGCAGAATGATACTCTCTCCTGATGCTCCGAAGCTCCCAGTCAGCTATGCGATCATGAGGGTAAACAGCTGACACACGTAACCATTCTGTTTTTCACTTTCAGTACACACACAACCACTCTGTTTTTCACTTTCAGTACAGTATTGAATAAATTGCATGAGATATTCAACACTATTTTAAAATAGGCTTTGTGTTACATGATTTTGCCCAACTGTAGGCTAGTGGAAATGTTCTGAGCATGTTTAAGGTAGGCTGGGTTAAGCTAGGATGTTTGGTAGGTGAGGTGTATTAAATGCATTTTCGACTTACAATATTTTCAACTTAGGATCGGTTTATTGGGATGTAACCTTATTGTAAGTTGAGGAAGAGCTGTATGTATTATTGTGATAAGGGCTTTAGAAAAAAATCAGAAAAGGGGGATAGGAAATTGAGGGGGCTGCATAATTTTAAATAATGTCAAGATTGGGGAAGGGAAAGGCTCAATGAAAAGGTGATGTTTAGGTAAAGAACTGAAAGAGTGAGGGAGTAGCCCTAGGAATATCTGGAGGAAGAGAATTCCAGGCAGAGAGAGTATCAGGTGGAAAAGCCCTGTGGGAGGGGGAAGCCTAACCTCTTAGAAGAGTGAGAGTGAGAACAGTGCTGACTGGAGTGATGTACGTGAAGGGGAGAATGGAGAAAATAGCGGGGCTGGCTCCCATACGACTTTGTAGCCCACTATGTGGATTTGGGTTTTACTCCAAAGTGAAGCCATTGGAGAATTTTAAGAAGAGAAGTTATTAAATCTAGCATTTTAGAAGTATGATTAAAAATATTATTTTAAAATATTCTTCTTATTGTATAGAAAAAAGAATAGATCATAAAATGGCACGGTCAGAAGCAGAGAGACCTGTTTGGTTGCTGCCGAATCAGTGAGGGTTGATGGCTTGGAACAGGTCATATCAGTACAGATGTGGGAAGTGGTCACATTCTGGAAATATATTTTGAAGGAAGAGTCAGTAGGACTTGCTGATGGATCAGATGTTAGGTATGAGAGAAAGGGAGGAGTCTTGGTATTTAAATGAGACTAGAAGACAGTTACCAAGAAGAGGTCCAGGACTGAACCTTGGGGTACTCTAATGTATAGAGATCAGGGAGGAGAGCAGGAGCCAAAAAAGGGGACTGAGAAGGAGCAGTCAGTGAGGAGGAAAAGCAAAAGACTGCAGGCTCCTGGACCCAAGTGGAGAGAGTGCTTTATGAGAAGTTGTTCCCTCTCTGTCCTTTTAGGTTCCCTAACCACCACCTTACATAAGAGGTTCACTTGAGGTAGATGTGACAATATCCTGAGACAGGGTTTTGTTACCTTTATAGTTGAACATCAGGCAACTAGAAATGCTCTCAAACTAATGACTGGACATAGAATCAGAGATTGAGCCTCAGGGGTCGTCTCCCAGGTTGTGGCAACAAGCCTCAGTGGATTGTAGTAGTTCCTGCAAGAGTCGGGGAGCCTCTAAAGTATTTTAACCTGTCCACATATCATGAATACCATTAATAACACCAATAAGAGTTCTTTCTAACATTCATTATGCTGTTAGTTTACCCTCAGTGTGATGAGATACAGATAATAGAAACACTTGGAATATTACTTTTTGGAACATGGACTTGTAATATAATACAAACTGACGCATCCTGGATTGTGGGTTTTTAATAAGTGAATTGATTGCCCTGTGGTTTACACTTAATATCTAGAACTCTTAAATACTTTATACTTTAAATATTGTAGCGTAAGAAGTCTCAATATCTAGTGAGGAATCTCTTCCCCAACTCATTTCTTTAGGATAATTTTGGCTTTTCTTGGCCTTTTTAGCCACGGGCCAGTGGCGCAATGGATAACACGTCTGACTACGGATCACAAGATTCTTGGCCTTTTTGCTTTTCTACATGTAATTTAGAATCAGATTTTCAATTTTCATGGAAAAAAATCCTGTCAAGATTTAGCAGTGAATCTATGGCTCAATTTTGGGAAATTGATTTAGACTTTCTATCCATGAATGTGGTATACTCTTCATTCAGTTAGGTCTTTAATGTATTTAAATTGTTTCATAAGTCTTGTATGTTTTTTGTTATATTTATATATTGCCTGACTCTGGTTTGTATTTTGGCTTTCATATACTCAGTTTGAGGTTCAGACTTCACATCAGGTCATGGCACAAAGTTATGTTTGGATTTCCTATGGACGACTCCACTCATAGCCTATGGTGGATGGCTTACTTCCATGCCAGGTCTCAGGACATTGACTTGAGGTTTTCTGGTCTCTATTTCATTGATAAGAAATTTATGTATGGTGCTAAGTTCCACTGTCCCTTGCACATGGGGGCCCCTACCTGCTATCCAGGAGTGGCCCTTAAAACTTCAGCCTTTTAGGCTTGTGGTTCTGATACCTTTTGCTGTTGCCTTTAAAATTTGTTCCCTCGTTTGAAGTTGCTTTTTATTTTTAGCATATAAGTTTTGTTTTTTTTTTTTGTTTTTTAGCTTGACTTTTTATACAAAGAAATTCTGCATTTTTTAACGTGGAAGAGTGTTTTCTGTGTCCATTTATCTGATATGTTGACCAGTAGTCTAATATCACGTGTGGAGCTTTATGATTAATAGTGATCATTAGTCTAGGTTATGTCACTGGCTTCAAAGTTATTCATATCTAGTATTCATGAAGCATGAATTTCATTCAAGTTTAGGGTATTCTCTTCCTGCCTGTTTCAGAAAGTAAAAGTATCCAAAGTCTGTCATATTTGATTTCATCAATAAAGTTGAGATAGAGATAGATGTTTTAAGAAATCTTAAATTAGGTCTTATTTATGTACTTGTCTTAAGATAGTTTATACAAGGAAAAATTTTACTATACAACTATACTTTTACATCTTCTGGTGTGTTCTAAATTGGCCAATTTTAGCATTTAAAATACTTTCATAATACAGCAATGGCTGGACAAAACATTACAGAAATACTAGATGGGTTTCAAGCATTTAGGTCAGTAAAGATTGGCGATTTCCCAAGATCCAAATTGAATACACTGCTTATTGGCACCTTTTAGGATATCTTTGTACTTTTCTCTGATTGAATTTTAACTGTAATAATTTGAAACCATGTCAAAAAACTAACTTATTTTGATCCTAGGTCAGATGTGTGACAAATATTTATGTAGCTTGTCCCTGACTGGACTTTAAGTGTAATTAAAAAGTATGTTGGAAAACCAATTTATTTTGATCTTAGCATAGATGTTTGATAGCATTATTTATTATGAATTTTTTCCTTTCAACAGAAATGAAATTATTCTAATGTACTTCATCTTAATATATTGTATTTTAATATATTTAAAATATTATGTGACTATCTTAATATACATGCTAAAATTCACTTTTTCACTTAACATAAACATATTTCCAATACTGTTAACCATTCTTTATCTTTGTAATTTTAAGCCTATGCATAGTGTTTTCTCTATTGATACTTCATAATGTACTTTACCTTCTAACTTAGATTAATAATTAGGTTATTTTCAGTTATTCTTTCTTAGAGATAACACTGTAGTGAACCTGTTCTTGCATATAACTTTAAAGATTATTAAAAATTAAAAATTATATTCCTAGGATGAATATCTTAGGTGAATTTCCAAGGCTAAGATTATTACATCAAAGGATGCTAACTTCTTCATGGTTCCTAATAACTATTGCTATAGTTACTTTCTAAAATGTTATTAGTTTATAGCATGGCCAGTAATATATAAATTTGTCAGTTTTATCATAATGGCACTAGCAATGTTGATAGATTTGGTATCTTATTGTTTCAATTTTATTTCATTGATTTTTTTAATCAAGTTTTGAACATTTTTCCTGATATGTTTGATGTTTCTATATTGCTTAATGTGAGTCATCCATATACTTTTTGTCCATTATTATTGGGGTCTTAATATTTTTCCTATGGATTTTAATGAATAAATTTTGTATATAAAAATCTTTTATGATATTAGAAATTTGCTAAGACTATTGTCTTCCAGAAGCATTAAGATTTCTGGAATAATTATATTAATGTCCAATTCTCCAAATGGTATCATAGCTTTATGAAGACAGAGACTAATTTTCAATGCCCCCATATCCTCTTGGTGCCTAGTATAACTCTGGACATATTAGCAAAATTGGTTTTTTTGAACTGAATTGTTTTGCAGACGCAGTGGAAGGTATTGATGCCCAGTTTGTAAATGGCTACATGATTCATGATCAGGACAGCAAATCACACGTTCACATTCCTTACCCTGTCTCAGAAAACAGTCAAGTGCAGAGTGGAAGAGCTTTCCATCATGGCAGATTCATCATGAGTCTCCGGAAAGCAGCCATGGCAGAGCCCAAGTAAGAGTACAGCTTCAAACCTGTTATGTTCAAGAAGCACATCTGAACTTGGCCTTTGTACAAATACTATTTTATAAATTTTAGTAAGTTTTTGGGAATGGGCTAGAACATAGGTATTATGCTAAAATAAACCATAAGTTAGAAGAATGTTAGATCTTCTGTGTCTTTGTTAAGAATATCAGATAGAGAATTTTCCTTTAAATGACATAGAACTATTGGGGATTTTCCTTTAACTAAATGAATTGTGTGATTTTTATGTGGTTGGAATTTAGAGGATATGGTTGTAACTAAGGTTAAAGTCCATGTGTGTTCCATTTGGGAGTTGGGGTTTGTGGTTATGATACTTTCTATTAAAAGTCAAGACAGAGGACTTCAAAGGAAAATCCCCCTTCATTCCTTCTAAGGACCTATTCTGGTAGGACTGGCTGCTTCTCTTAATTATTGACTTATATTTGCCTCTAGTGTTTGTACTATCTAGTAGTTATATATACTATATATAATAGATACTGTTAATAGACTATATATAATTATCTATTATAATTGAGGAGGTTTTAAACATGAGAACCCTCATGTCCTTGGCATAGGCCCAAGTGTTGACACAGCAAAGGAAGAAGTGAGTAGACTTATCCTTAGAACTGGAAGGCTTTGCTATCTATGGAAGTAGAATATGTTCATTGTAGAAAAGTGGAAAAATGCAAAGAAGACTGTAAAAAATATCCGTGGTCCTTGTGACTAGCAGTAACTACTCTGAATAATTTGGTGGATAAACTCCAATTCTGTTTTCCTTTTTGTATATGAGTTTGTGTGGGTATGTAAAATTTTTCTGCATGTATTTCATTTTTTAATGAATTGAGGTAAAAATCTAATGTTACTTTTTAAACTATTTTTAATCATTATATTAGTAATGTGTTTATTTTTAAGAAATTAGAAAATGAGAACTATATGTAATTCTAAAACCTGTTAATACTGTTTTTGCTTTATCATTCCATTCTTTTTACTTACATGTGCGCACTTACACGTGTTACTTACACGTGTGCACATGTGTTCATTTACACGGGTAAACTGGAGATAAGGAATAAGGAATTTATCATTCTTTAAATTTCTCAAGTGTACTACTATAGAATTTATTTCTGTCTACTTAAATCTTTTAGTACAAAGTTCATTGAGGGCATTGTGCTACAGTTATTAGAAGAAGATGATGCTGTGGTGGGAGTTCAGTACAAGGATAAAGAAACCGGAGACATCAAGGTGAGATATAGCAAATGTTAGCTTTTCCTGAGAGGCTTTTTCCTTCTTTTTCTCCTACTCATTTAAAGATTTTATTTTTTCCTTTTTCTTCCCAAAACCCCCCGGTACTTAGCTGTGTATTCTTAGTTGTGGGTCCTTCTAGTTGTGGCATGTGGGATGCCGCCTCAGCATGGCTTGATGAGTGGTGCCATGTCCGTGCCCAGGATTCAAACCTGTGAAACGCTGGGCCACCGAAGCGGAGCTCCCAAACTTAACCACTCGGCTGCGGGGCCGGCCCCTCTCCTACTCATTTAAAAAAGTAGGCTCACCAGTTAATTCCTCATCAAATGGACTGAGTTCTCTCTAAGCCCTCTGCAACAGGATGAGTCTCAGATTGTAACACATTTGCTCTTTAGAGCACCTCAGAATGCTATACAAATAACTTGTAAATAAACACCGCTGTATTAACAGTATAATATTTCAGTATTAAAAACTGAAAGAAGAAATATGCGCTAGCAGAGAAACGGGAGCTGGAAGGTGAAAAAAGGAAGGATTCAACATAAAATAGATGATTAGGATGAAATAAAAAATTGTTTAAATCGGGAAGGCAAAAGTAAGAGAATCTCTGGGGAAATAGCAGAATAAAATAGTTTCCAGTATGTGCTCATGCTGGTTTAGTAAAAGAAGAGAAAGAGTCAAAGGCGAATCCGTTGACTCTTCCGGGCTACTGCATAGGGTTGCCACCTCCTAGAAATTGTACTCTAATGGAGGCATTTGCAAGGTACTAGAAATATATACATTTATGTGTACAAAGATTCTTCTAGGCCCTAGCCACTGATTGAAAACACTATATAAAGTTAGAAAATTCAAGAATAAAAGAATCTGGGTAGTTCTTGGAATTTGTAATGAGACTCAGTCTTCCGTGGTCCAGGCTTGCTTTGTAGTTGTCTCCCCTTGTCCATTAAAGTGTAGCTTAATCCCAGGTGGTCTGGATGGTAGAGCTTTGAAGGAAGGTGATCCTCAGGGATTCTGAGGCAGCATCTCTAAAGATGGGTCATGCATTAACTTAAGCCTGCATAATAGCTTCTTCAATAGCATTATCATCAAATACTCTCTATAATGTTGTCTGATAATATATTTAAATGTATTCATGCACATTTTAAGAAAACGGTCCTTTTCCTGTGTACCTAACCATTTAGCTGAATATCCTTTATCTTTGTTGTAGGAACTCCATGCTCCATTGACTGTTGTTGCAGATGGAATTTTTTCCAGGTTCAGGAAAAACCTGATCTCCAGTAAAGTTTCTGTTACATCTCATTTTGTTGGCTTTCTAATGAAGGTACTGTAGGAGTGTCATTGTAGAAAATAAAAGCAACTTCAAATTTGAAAATTATTAAAATATTTTCTTTTTTTTTTCTAGGATGTACCACAGTTTAAAGCAAATCATGCTGAACTTATTTTAAGTGATCAGAGTCCAATTCTCATCTACCAGATTTCATCTAATGAAACTCGAGCACTTGTTGATATTCGAGGAGAAATGCCAAGGGATTTAAGAGAATACATGGCTGAAAAAATTTACCCACAATTACCTGGTAAGAAATAGGATTTCATTCCCCTTGTAATCTACAGTCTGAAAGCAAATCTTGCAAAAGGCTCTCCATCTCCAGTTCTCACTAAAGCTGTGTCGAAATTAGGCCAAAGAGAAGGGCAGCAGGTGAAAAATGCACCCCGTCAGTCAGATACATGGGACTTGAATTTACACTAGTACATAAAAAAATCTCCAAATTTAAAAACTAGTTTCAATATATTTTTTCACATTAATAATTAAAGCATAGTTTTCAGAATAGTTATTAATATTGGCATATATAGTATTTTTTAAGTTAGTCTGAATAGCAATCTGAGGTCTCTGAATTCTTAAAATATCTCTTATACTTAACTACTTTTGTGCTTGGTTTTTGTAGACATGATGGGTACCATTTATTTTATTTATTTATTTTTTTAAAGATTTTATTCTTTTCCTTTTTCTCCCCAAAGCCCCCCGGTACATAGTTGTATATTCTTCATTGTGGGTCCTTCTAGTTGTGGCATGTGGGACGCTGCCTTAGCGTGGTTTGATGAGCAGTGCCATGTCCGCGCCCAGGATTCGAACTGATGAAACACTGGGCCGCCTGCAGCAGAGCGCGCGAACTTAACCACTCGGCCACGGGGCCAGCCCCTGATGGGTACCATTTATTGAATGTCTACTATGTAAGAGGTGCTTTAGAAACACAATTTCATTTAATCTACACAACCACCCTATGAGGTTGGCATTATCATTATTCCCATTTTACAGATGAGGGAACTAAGATTCAGAGAGGTTACTTAGCTTCTCCAAGGAATAGACTATTAGTAAGTGTCACAGGCAGAGGTTGAAACCAGGTCTCTCTGGTTCATACATCCCTGCCTTCATAATGTGAGAACTATGAGGGATCAAGATCGTTTTAGTTTTGAGTTGAATACAGAAAGGCTTCATGAGATTTCAGACATCTTTGTAAAACACTCATAAAAATTACTTTCTGTTTTTTTGGGGTTTTTTTGAGAATGGGAAGATGTAAGTAAGAAGAAAAGGAAAAAAATTACTAAGACCATTGATAAAATTGAAAGGAAATCCTACTTGCCAATTATGATATGATTATAGTAATAGGAAACTATCCTTGGTATGAGTACATTTTGTTTAGATATTCTGTTTTTTTAGTTATTTTTTAAACTAAGTTAAATCACTCTGCTTAATAACTAACAGAATATTAAGAGAAATGAAGGTATATATGGACCAACTTAGATTTTTAATAATGACATTTTCAACATTTCGGTACATTTTCACTCAGTAAGCCATTTTTGAAAGTTTCAGATGGAAAAATAAGTTATTCATATTTAGGAAAAGGATAGTCAATAATGTGATATTTTTAGCCCGCATTTTGTTTTTCTTTTACTGTAGATTGTTTTTTTCCAATCCAAAGTTTAAATTGGAGCAGACTGCCCCGAGATCATGGAAGGAAACCATTTGTAGGTTTATATTAATATTAGTTAGGTTATTGAAATTCTACTCCTTGTAGAAATGGAATGGTTTCCTTGTAGGCATTCTCCTCCCGTATTCCCAGATTACAATGGGAACTCTATGAAGAGACAGTTCATTTCCTATACATGTAGAAACATACAACCTTAAAACTGTAAAGTATCTCAGAGATGAGCTAAACCCACCATTTCATTTTATAGATGAAGAAACTGAAGCTCAGAAGGGTAGAGCTGCTACATCCTATCTTTTTTCTGCTGTACATACCTACCCTCTTACTGTTTGTGAGCTAGTAGTATATTTCATCTCATATTGCCAGAGTATGGTTGTGACAATAAATTGTTAAATATGACAGCCGTCAGTTAACATTTGAAAGAGAGGGTGGGTAGTTTTTCTCCCTGTCTCATCTCATCTGGATTTGCTTCAATTTCATCTAGTTGTTTTGTTATTTAGCTGTATGTATATCTATTTATGTTAATTTTCTCTTAGATTCCTTAGTCATTCCGTAGCATGAATGACTGGGTGCTTAATGAATAATTTTATTAATAAAATAATTAATTCTTGATTTATCACTAGGGCTGTCTGTAACAACCATAACAGGTGTATAGTAGGTATTTATACTTGATAAGAAAATGTGATAATTTGAAATTGAAATGTTATAAACTGTGTGGGATTTATTACAGATCATCTGAAAGAACCATTCCTAGAAGCCATTCACAATTCTCGTTTGAGATCTATGCCAGCAAGCTTCCTTCCTTCTTCACCAGTAAACAAACGAGGTATTATTTTATTGCCCTGATTTTATAAAGGATATTCTAAATATTCAAATTTTATATTCCAAATGACATGTGTGATTAAATTTATACCGCTGGGAATAATATGTTGGACAGAGAATTGGTTACTGTGGATTAATGCATTACCAATACCAAAATTAGTGTTTTATGTTTTCTTTATTATTTAATATTGAGCATATATAAGTCACTGTGCTAGTTATTGAGGCTACAACAGTTAAGCATAGTCCTTAATCTAGAGAGGGCAATTTTCCAGTGAGGGATATGGACAGATAATTTCGGAGCACTGTTGATAAATGCTGTAATGAAAGCCCCACTCATAGTACCACAGAGTCACTGTGAAGGGGGTGTGCAAGGCAGGAGGGGAGTCTTGTGAACTGGGGATGGAGATCAGGGAAGACATTGCTCAGAAAATAATGCTGGAGTCGGGGCATGGAGATGAATGGGAGTTCATTCGGTGGGCAGGGAGACGAAGGACTTCTAAGTAGATGGCACAACATTTGTAAAAGCCAGGAGGGCTGAGAGACGGTGGCACTTGCAGTGAACTCAAGTCGTTTCCAATGGCTGGAGCATGGGATAGGTGTCAGAGTTTACTTAAAGTTTAGTTTTAATCCTATAGATCATGGAAAGTCATTGAAAAGTTTTTTTTAATAATAGCTTTATTGAGATATAATTCACAAATCATATAGTTCATCTATTTAGAGTGTACAGGTCATTATTTTTAGTATGTTCATAGGTATATGCAACCATCACAGTAATCACTTTTAGAACATGATCAATTTTAGAATATATTTCTCACCCCAGAAAGCAAGCCTGTACCCATTAGCAGTCACTCCTCATTTCCTACCAACCCCCAGCCCACTACTAATTACTTATTGTCGCTATAGATTTGCCTATTCTGGACATTTCCTATCCATGGAATCATATAATATGTGATCATTTATAACTGGTTTCTTTGAGGTTCGTCCATGTTGTAGCATGTATCAGTTCTTCATTTGCTTTTGTGGCCAAATAGTATTCCATGTGTAAATGCACTACATTTTCATTATCCATTCATCAGTTGATAGACATTTGGGTTGTGTCCACTTTGGGTTAGTTTGAGCAATGCTGCTGTGAACATCAGTGTATGAGTTTTTGTGTGGACATGTATTTTCATTTTTCTTGGGTGTACACCTAGGAGTAAAATTGCTGGGTCGTATGGTAATTCTGTTTGATTCTTTGAGGAACTGCCAAACTGTTTTCTAAACTGGATGCCACATTTCACATTCCCAGTAGCCGTGTACGGAGGGTTCCAATGTCTCCACATCCTCAACAACGTTTGTTATTATCTGTCTTTTCGCTTGTTTCCATCCTAGTAGGTGTGAAGTGATATCTCATTATGGTTTTGATTTTTCTCTGATGGATAATGATGTTGAGCATCTTTTCATATGCTTATTGGCCTTTTATTTATCTTCTTAGGAGAAATATCTATTCAGACTTTGTACATTTTTTTTTCTTTTTTCTTTTGGTAGGGAAGATTGTCCCTGAGCTAACATCTGTGCCAGTCTTCCTCTATCTTGTTTGTGGGTCGCTGCCACAACATGGCTTGATGAGTGGTGTAGGTCTGTGCCTGGGATCTCAACCCATGAACCTGGGCTGCTGAAGCGGAGTGTGCTGAACTCAACCACTATGCCATGGGGCCAGCCCCCAGACTTTGCACATTTTTTAATTGAGCAAATTAAACTTTTATTGTTGAGTTGTAAGAGTTCTTTATATATTCTAGATATGTCTCTTATCAGATACATGATTTGCAAAAATTTTCTGTCATCCTGTGGGTTGTCTTTTCACTTCTTTGATGGAGTCCATTCAAGTTTTTAATTTCCATGAATTCCAGTTTATCTGTTTTTGATTTTTTTTCTGTCTCTTGTGCTTTTGATGTCCTATCTAAAAAGGTTTTGCCCAACCCAAGGTCACAAAGATTTACTCTTATGTTTTCTTTGAAGAGTTTTATAGTCTGAGCTATTACATTTAGCTGTTTGATCCATTTGGAGTTAAATTTTGTGTATGGTTTGGGGAAGGCATCCGACTTCATTTGTTTGTATGTGGTTCTCCAGTTGTCCCAGCACCCTTTGTTGGAAAGATTATTCTTTCCCCATTGACGTGTCTTGTCACTCTTGTCAAATTTCATTGACTGTAATGTAAGACTTTCTTTCAAGAAGATTTTCTAGTTTTCAGTGTAAGTTTTACATTTCTGTTGTTAAATTTATTTGTAAATATTCTACTCCTTTTGATGCTATTGTAAATGGATTTGTTTTCTTAATTTTATTTTAAGATTATTCATTGCTAGTGTATAGAAATACAATTAAGTTTTGCATATTTATCTTGTATCTTGAAACCTTGCTGAATTCATTTATTAGTTCTAATAGTTCATTGGAAAGTTTTAAACAAGGTAGTGGCATAATTAGATTTTTATTTTATATTTATTTTATTTATTATTTTAATTAATTTTATATTAGATTTATTTTATATTTCATATTACTCTGAAGGCTGGCCTTGTGGCACAGTGGTTAAGTTTGCACATTCTGCTTTGGCAGCCCAGGGTTCACTGGTTCAGATCCTGGGTCTGGAGCTACGCACTGCATGTCAAGCCATGCTGTGGCAGGCATCCCACATATAAAGTAGAGGAAGATGGGCACGGATGTTAGCTCAGGGTCAGTCTTCCTCAGCAACAAAAAAAAAAGAGGAGCATTGGCAACAGATGTTAGCTCAGGGCTAATCTTCCTCAAAAAAAAAAAGAAAGAGAAATGTTACTCTGATATGTAGTGGAGGAAAGTTGACTAAAGCTTATAAAAGGCTACTTAAGTATTCCATGTGACTGATGAAGAAAGGCCCAAACTAGGGTCTATTGTGGCAATAAAAATGGAAGGCAGGAAATGGATTTGGGTAATATCTAGGCTGTAGAATGCATGAAACTCAGTGATGAATTGGATATTGTAGTAAGGGAGAGTGAGGCCTCTTGATGGATTCCAGTTTCAGACTTAGATAGTTTTGCTAGCTGTTTGCTGACATTGGAGATAGAGGAAAAAGAGTCCAAGTTGAGGGAAGTGTGGGGAGAAGTGACGAGTTCACTGTGCACATATTGAGCATGAAGTGCAGTCGGGCATTGGAGTGGAGATGTTTGGAGCACCATTGAAAACTTGAACTCCCGAGAGCGGTCTGAATGGAAGCTGTCGATATACTCTGGTTCCTGAACATAAATAGATTGTAGTTGGCTGTGTAAAAACATGCATGATAAACTACCAACCAGATAAAAAAAGTACAGTGCAAAGCAGAATGAAGCCAATGCCAAATTGATGTAAACAACATGCTGTGGGAAGCTATCCTAAGTGGTGGGATTGAGAACGGTGCATGGAGAAGGAGGAAGCTGGTTATAGTTTGTGGTTTAAGAGTAATGCAGAAAAAATTTAGAGTAATATTTAGAAGCTTCCTTTTTATAAATTAATATATTATTATAATAATAAATTATATGTATTCTGTAATTAGTGATAAATGTAGTATATTGTGACATTATGGAAAAAGATTATCCATAATTCTGGAACACAGTTATTATGGTTGTCTGTTTCTCTCCGAGACAAACTTGAATAAATCCTTTGTTTAAATGCCACTCTAAGTTGTTGGTCATCAAGCAGGCTGACAGTGGACAGGGAGCCTCAGTAGCTTAGGCAGAGGTGTACCTAGAGTCAAGCTGTGGCGCTTTCTGCTTCTGCTGTTTTGATTTAGGGGGCTAATTTTCAGATAAGATTCAATCAAGGCTTTTCCTCTTAAATTAACTTCTGCTGGTTTTGGAATAGCTGCCTGTTGCCTTTCAATTTGAACTACAACGTGGCTGGGTGGCATCTTCCTAGGGCCTGCTTTTTTCCCTTCGAACTGTACAGGCAGTCCTCTGTAGTATGCCGGCAGCAGATATTGCTGTGAAATGTCAAAGACCTTGATTTTTTTCTCTTGTAGAAGATTTGCTCTTTATGCCTGGATGCCTGTAGATTCTTTTTGTTTTTCATGCAAGAGGCCTTATAAATATCTTGACATTGTTTGACTTAACGTTAGATTCACATGTGAGTTTCACGAGAGCAGGGACCACGTTCTTGTTCTCGCTGTATCCCCAGTATCTGGCATCTATCAGGTACTCAATACATATTAATTGAATCAACTCTTGAATTTTTGCCTCAGCAAATTTTTCATCGTGATTTGCTCCCTTGTATTTTCACGTTCTTATTTACTAGCTCACAGCCATAATGTTTACAAATGAACAGAGTATTTTTCTTTTTGTCTCAAGGGATGCTGCTGGATGATGTTGTAATCTAAATTCTCTTTCTTTACAGGGGTTCTTCTCTTGGGAGATGCGTATAATATAAGACACCCTCTTACTGGAGGAGGAATGACTGTTGCTTTTAAAGATGTAAAACTATGGAGAAAATTGCTGAAAAGTATCCCTGACCTTTATGATGATGCAGCTGTTTTCCAGGTAAGCTATTAAATTATTCTCTGACAAAAATGGCTCAAAATAAATTTCTTTCTGGGGCCTAAGAGGAATGGGACTTTGATAGTGAGATCTGTCCCGAGGAGCCTGCTCCTTAGTAATGGTTCTTACGCAGTCCTGTTTGGGTGTAAAGAATCTGACTGGCAACCTGTGAATCTTAGGGAATTTCTCAATTTCTGTATTTGAATATTATGTAACACTGTATTGCATGGGCCACTTTGCTCAGTGAGTTTAAGTTTAGCTTTAGAGTCGCATAAGCTTACTGCTCTGGAGATGTTATTTGTGTGTGTGTGTGAATGATAAACGTAAGGCGTAATTACTTGTAGATAGTCCTCAGGATAAATAGCCATTTGAGAGGACTGGGGACATCAGTTTGTGCTGCTTTTTCCTCCTCCTTCCCAGTTAGTAAGTGATCTTTTTCCTTTTTAGGCCAAAAAATCATTCTATTGGACAAGAAGAAGGTCTCATTCCTTTGTTGTGAATGTCCTTGCTCAGGCTCTTTATGAATTATTTTCTGCCCCAGATGGTAAGTGTAGATATTTTTTAGTGAACATTACTGAATTGCAGATTTTTAGTACAGGAAGGGAACTTAATTACAAAAAAGTTAATGATTAGACCAGAAATAGAAATGTTTTCTGAGTTTGCTTACTCCCAAGTTGGTAGTCCTTTTTAACTCCATCCTTGAGCAAGATTTTTAGCTTCTAATCATCTTGTATCCACTGCTGTGTGTGGAAGGCTGTTGCCTTCCCTTACACAACCTTAATAGCAATACCTCAAGAATGGATTATTAATTCCTCTGGTCATGTATATCCCCAAGTGCGTAAGATTGTGATGGCGAAACTTTCTGGCCATGAATTAAAATAGTTGTTAATCTTTTTCTTCCAGAACACTAGTTTCAATTTCTTTTCAAGGTAGTATTTTATAAAATGAATGTGAGCTTCATGTTAAGTTTTCTGTCTCCTGTTAAAATGCACAAGTAGTAGAATGCATCCACCTTTTCCTCATTTGAAATAGTCCCCTGCTTCCCTTGGTTCCATATCGTAGGGGTGATGGTCAGTCTATCTGTTAAGGAACACGTGACTTAGCAGAAGCGATGTCAGCAACGGAGGGAGAGGCAACTCTGCCACCTCCCAGCCACAGCAGTGGACCAATTCGTTAACTGTGTGTTCAGGAAACTAGACCTTGAGGTTTTCAGGAGTAAACATCACTCACATCCCATTACTTCAGATATCTACAACAAAGCTGTTTCCATGACCTGGCTGAGGCCCTAGTGATCTGCGCTTTGGTGACGTGATTACAAAGGATGATGTGGTACAAATGCCTTCTGTAGCCTCTGTAACCGTCGTTCTTGCTACAAGAAAAAACAACTCATTGCTTGTGATTTGCCAGTCAAATCTCTTGCTAATTGGCATGGAAGTTAATATGGCTGATTGGGCAAGTAAAAAGAAAACTAAATTTTGAGTTTCTCTAAGCTCTTCTTTCTAAGCTTTCCTAAGCTCTTGAGTTTCTTACATTATTAATTTGAATCTACCAACAAAACAACAGAAAAAAGATGAAAGGTTGGGGGACGAAAGAGCTTTACTGGAGTAAAAGTTTACCTACTGCATCCCTTTTTTATCTGTTGTGGAGAAAAATCTAGGCATACCTAAAAAGAACATTGATTCCAAACTATTAAAAAGGTTGTTGATTGATTATACTATGTTTTGAGGGTTTAATGAGTTACTTTGAAAAGTATAAAAACTGTACAGATATAACGCATTATTATTACTCACTATTCACAGCTATTCTTTTACTTGATAATTTGCTGCTCAGAGATATGAGTTGGGCATCTTAGAGACTGGGAATCTGGTTTCCAGAATTGTGATTTTATATATAACAAAGAGTTTACAAAATATTTTGCATCCTTAATGAATTTATAACAATCAAGGAGATAGCTTTTAAGCAACTCTCAACTTCTGAGACCTCCATGTTTGGTACAGTAATTATTTACTAGCAGAATAAAGCTTATTCATACTTAAATTACTATCCACGTGGATTATGAAATTTAAAAGTAGTCATGGGTTGTTGAAATTTCAGGACTAGATTTTTAAAAACTTAGAAGGTTTGATATATATTACATCTTCATTTTACCTGATATATCATTAGCACTGTAACAAATGTGTGAATATTTTGATTGAGAGTAATTAAAAAAATTTTCTTTTTAGATTGCCTACATCAACTAAGAAAAGCTTGTTTTCTTTATTTCAAACTTGGTGGAGAATTTGTTGCTGGTCCTGTTGGGCTGCTTTCTGTGTAAGTTGTTTTGACAACACAAAGGAAACATTCCAGATTTTCATAGGACTGTTCAGTTTATGAATTGCTGCAGATCTTTCTTTTTTATCCATTTTGTCATTTTATTATCCATTAGTATCCCAATCAGCAGGTAGCCCAGAGAAATGAAAAAGGTGACGTTTAGTCCTGTGTCATATTTCTGGGAAATAGTGTTGATCAGCAGTTGGTGGGAGATGAGGCTACAACCCTTGATGAAAACAGACGCTTGTTTTCTGCCTGTGGGTTTATCTACATGATCTGCTCTATGGGAGTCATGGATAACAAGAAATCTGTATTTAAAAATCAATTTGATTGAAGTGCAAGGACTCAGGAAACTCAGTAATAGTTTTGATGGTGCAGAAGTGTGTGGAACTATTTTTGGAAAATGTGCAAAGTGAAATTCTTTAAGTCTTCTCATTCATCTATAATCTGAATGTCAGAACTGTTACGTTTTGAAAAACCTAGACTCCAACAGGCCAGGCTATCCAGGTACTTCAGACTGGGATCTCAAGATTAGTGAAAGAAAACAGCTTAAAACACACGACTTCTGTAAACTAGACTAAGAGGAGGTACTGGCTTCTCTGACAGGGGTATGTCCTAAGTAGTTTCTTGTAAAAAAAAAAAAAATTTTATTTGTCCCAATCATCAAACTTACTAGGCAAACACAAGCTTGTAAAGTCCTCTAAAATGTAGAATGTGTTTAGCTTTATAGATGATACATAAATTTTAATTTCTGGGTCTTACCAATATATATGTGATTTTTTTTTCTGTTACAGACTGTCTCCGGACCCTCTGGTTTTAATTGGACACTTCTTTGGTGTTGCACTCTATGCCACATATTTTTGCTTTAAATCAGAACCTTGGATTACAAAACCCCGAGCCATCTTCAGGAGTGGTGCTGTACTGTACAAAGCATGCTCTGTAATATTTCCTCTCATTTACTCAGAAATGAAGTACTTGGTTCATTCAGCCTAAACGAGGGAACTATTTGTGAATGAATATTTGGAACTCACCAAGTGCTAAGAGACTTTGGAAAAGAATGTAAATAGGATACTACTCTACCACTTTTAAAGTGGAAACTCTTGGACCAACTTTGGGATTAAGTTGTTTTTGAAGCTGTTTGTAAATAAATATGTAAATATATACTTTAATTTGCAATTTCAAATGAAAGATAAAATAAGATAGATATTTAAAAGAAATTATTGTTACCATAAATTAGTGCTGATACTGAGGAACTGTGGTTTTTCTTCTGAATTCAATATTTGGGATAAGTCATTGTGGGGCATGCAAATAAAATGAAGAATGAACCCTCATGTCTTTTTGTTTCTTGTGGACTTCTTTACATAGCTTCATTATAAAGGAAAAGAAAGACAAAGTGGGAAGGAAAATGCAAAGGGAAACCTATTCTGTTAAGTAACTGACATTGGGCAAGTTGCCTTAATATCTCTGGACCTAATTTTCCTCATCTATCTAGTAAGGCAATGTGATAAGGTTCTTTTCTGAGTTCTTTGAAATTATGACATTCATACAGGAAAGCAATCAAGGGCTTTATAAGTTCCACTGTTTAACATTAATAAACCAGGCTAGGATTATTCCAAGAAACTGAATGAACAAATAAGCACTTGTTAATACCTGGCATAATGCCTTAAAATCAGAATTTACTGAGTTTACAGTTTATTTGAAGAGATTATGGACATTCAGAAGGGTATCATGATTCGGTTCAGCGCAGGCCGCCCCAAGATGCACCATGCTGGTATTCGGATTATTTCCAAGCTGAAGACAATGAAGGCTCAGAAGACTCAGGAAGAACATTTGAGCCTCGCCCAAACTGCCTTAAAGAATTTGACATAGAAGGCCTGTTCCAGGAAGGAGCTCATACCCTAGGATAGCTATAGTATGATGTCAAATAAGCGTGACAGAAAGACACCAACAAACCCATTTTTTTGGTCCAGCAAAACCTGTTTAATGCACATTTGCATTTCCATCTCCATGTAAATTGTCTTGCTCCCCTCTGAAATCCCAAATCAGGACCCCAAATCCTCCTTGTCTGTAGCTGAAGATATGGAAACTGCCAGCCTCAGCCAGCTGGCCAAGTTGCTGTTTTTCCTGAGTTTCTCCCACGAATACATGTTATTAAACTTTGCTTTATTTTCTCCTGCTAACCTGCCTTTTGATTATTTGACCGGCTGTAAGAACCTTAATGAAAAGGGGTGAGGTGGGGGAGGAATTCTCCCACTTCCCCTACACATGACACTTCGGGAAGTCATCAAATGTCACTAAAGCAAATTGCTCCCTCTGAAAGAGCAGTCAAATATAACTTGGAATATTAACTAACTACTTCAGATTCTAATCATTAGGGTTAAAATGACTTGTGAAGCTTTTATAATAAATTTTTCTTTCACCTTTTAAGTTCTTTCAGTTGAGAAAATTTTTCAGTGGCCAAACCACATCACTGGCCTTGGTTTGGCACAATGTATGCTGGACTCGTGCTTGGCTTCAGGAGAGTGCCTCTAATTCATCCCAAATGTCTACATTCTGTTTAAAGACTCACTTTCTTAGATCTGGCCGCCTTAGCAGCTGGCTTTCTTTGGGGTCCATTTTGACAGAGAACTCACTTCACGCAGTTACTGTTACCTGATTACAAGTGGAAAACAGCAAGCCAGGTTTGCAGTGCGGGTGTAAGATGGCCGTGGACTTGGTAGCTGGGCTCCCCTGCGCCAGCCTCTCAGCCAGGGAGACTTCCCAGCTGCGCACGGACGTGCAGGGCAACAATTCACTTTTAAAACTCTGCCCTCGGCCTTCACCCGGCTGGCTGTGAGGCTCCTGCTGCTGGCTAGATGCCTTTTAAAATCCTCTCAGAATCATGGTGAAACAATCCAAGGCTACAAAGTCATTTTGCTTTTCTTTCAGTATCTTAGGAATTGAGGCCTTCTGACAAAAGAAAGAACTTTGCATGAAATCAGAAAACTGAATGGAACTGAGAATCATTTAGCCTTGATATTACAGATGGTGCCAGTAGGCTGGCTTGGGATGATGTTTAGCTAGTGGCAGAACCAGGGCTCAAACTGCCTCCTGGCTACAAATCAATGCTTCTACCCCAGCAACTTGCTAAATGACTGAGAAGCAGGTTTCACATTCTGGGTTTTCTTCTTTTTTTTTGCTTGTTCTCTCCCCTCCAGAGGAAGATGTAGTTAGCTGTAAGGTCAGGGCTAAAACATCTTTCTTGCACTTACCCAAGTTTCCACAATAGGATGGCAGCTCCCCTTTCAGAGTGATTTTCACGAAGAAGTGATTTAGGATTTGGGGTTAGTTAAAAGCTAATGACTAAGCAGTTGCCAGGAAAAAAAGGGGGGGGTAGTTAGGGCTAGCATTATGGTTGTCAGGACTGGGGGTAGCGCTCAGGGATTGCTGAGGAAGGAAGAGAAGGGTGGAAGGAGCAGTGGAAGTGAGGGAGTCCTGCAGAAGGATGCGGGGACCCCAAAGAGTATCTGGGATTGGAAGCGGACGGCGAGCCTCAGGCACCGAGAAACGTCCATGGTACGTGGTCCACAGACTACAGTTTGGCCATCACCAAGTGTCTGCCAGCCTGTTGTGCGCATGTCCACTGGACCTATCAGAATCATCTCGTTTCCAGACAAGGTTTTCTGCGGGGTGAGTATATAGGTTTTGAATCATAAATGGAAGGACAACTTTGGGTACTGGCAATACTATTTTACTGAAAATCTGGAGTTGCACAAATAGTTCTTCAGAACATAAAACTAAACGGATTTGTACATAACAATTACATTCAGCATCTATAAGAGGCAGTACAAAAATGTCTTCTGCTTCTACATGATATAAATTGCATATAATACCATGATTTAAACAGTATTAATTATATTAACTAGTGCCATGAGATACATCTTACTCAGAACGTCTGATATTTCCCACAATAAAGGGAAAAATGCAGTTATATGAGCGGTTGAGTTTCTTTTCTCAATTCATTTTAGCGATGGTGGGAAGATTTAAGGACAATCCTCTCACTTGAAGAAGTAGAAGAAAAAAGTTACAGGACTGTTCTGAACTCATCAAAAATGAAATTAGGCACGTGTGCTTCAGCAACCTAAAAAAATTGAACAGAGTTAAATCATTCATGGTGTTATAATTCAGAAAAAATTCAAATTTTCCACACAAAAATTAAAGAGACCATATCCTTTGGAGCCAAGAGCATTAGAGGGACGTGCTGGACTCACATGGGCGGACCTCTCCTTGAAGCCACTGCCTTCTGTTCCTGCTGTTCCTCGCGCTGGTGTCTCATTTCTTGGCACTAACGTCTGAGGGGATGCTGCACTGTGCCCCGTCTCCAGATGTGAGCTCCTTGGCTCTTAAAGGTACTTAGATCTGCTAGGAGTTCGCATGCCTCTGAGAACCGCTAAGTGGTAATCTCAGGTCACCTCAAAATTAACTGATGACCAATCTAGGAAGAAGAGGATGTCTGGCAAGTGCCTGAGGCCAGACGGGGAAGAGGAGGAAGGCCCTCGAAGGCACATGTCCCTTAACTATGCTTACGAGAAGCTCTGAGGGGTGGAATGTAGAACTAGGTAATCTCTAAGTGCTGGAAACTGGGGTGGTTTTTTTTTTTTTTTTTTTTGGTGAGGAAGACTGGCCCTGAACTAACATCTGTTGCCAATCTTCCTCTATTTTATGTGGGATGCTCCCACAGTGTGACTTGACGAGTGGTGCTAGGTCTGTGCCCGGGATCTGAACCTGTGAACCCCATGCTGCTGAAGCAGAGCATGCAAACTTAACCACTATGCCACTGGGCCCGCCCCTGGAAGTTGGTATTTTTTAAAAGTGGTGTTTAATTTTCTTCTGATTATAAAAGTATCACCTGCTAATTAGAAGAAATTTAGCAAATGTGGAAGAGTATAAAAAAGAAATAATCTCTAATCTTGATCCCTTAGAGACAATTAAAATTGGTAATCATTTTGTATTGAATTCTTCCAATTTACATACATACACACACACACAAACACATACGTGCACACACTCAAAATTAGGATCACATAATCTTGTGACCTTTACTTCTGCTAAAGCTTATGAACGTCCTTGCACACATATCTTGGTGAACTTTTGCACACATATCCAGCAGGCAAATTCCTAGCAGTAGAATTTCTGGGATTAGGTGGATATATGACAAAAGTACTGGAAAGTCCCATTTCTACAAAACTTTCCAAGCTCTAGGAGCCCAACGTTTTACTTTTTACTAATCTGACATGTGGAAGTGTAACCTTACTATTATTTTGACTTGTGTCCCTTGGCTATAAGGCTGAACATCTTCACAAATGGTTATTGGCCATTTCTCTTTCTTTTCCTGAAAACTACCTGTTAATATCCTTTGCCCATTTGCTTTTTTCTATTTGATTGGTTATCTTTTTCTCACTGATCTAGAAGAGCACACTATAAATCAAGGAAACAGGTCCTTTGTTAATATTTTCTGCAATTTTTTAAAAATTGAGACATTTAACAGAATTGTTTATTTTATAAAAGATCAAATCTCTAAGTCTTTTCTTTTATGGTTCCCTCCTTTGATGTTAGATATAGGAAGTTCTGAGAGCTGATACATATTTGTCTAAAATTTCTGCGAATTTATTGGTTTGATTTTTCACACTAACTCTGTAGCCTATCTATAATTTATTCTGAAACATGAACGATGTGAAGAGACTAACTTGCTATATTTTAACCACAGAATGAACCAATCATCCCAGCACTACTGACTGATAGTCCTTTTCTCCCCCAATTTGAGATGCTTCTTTTCCTTATATACAATTGTGGGTGTTAGGATTTGTTTCTAGGCCACATATTCTAGTCTTTCGATCCATCTGATGAGTTTCATACCAGTACCACACTCTTTTGATTTCTATGGTTTTAAACTATATTTCAATATTTGGTATAACGTTTTAATATCACCTTCTTTTAAAAAACATTCCATTTTAGCCTAAGGTCTATGAAATTTTAAAAAATCTTTTCTTCCCCCAAGTTAAAAAAAATGATCTGAGATTTTGATCATAACTGCAAGAAACCTCTAAAGTACTAGAAGCAACTAATATTTGAGTCTCCTCATTCAGAAACAAGGACTTCAAAATTTTATGGTTATTTTTGAATTGTTTTTTCATATTTCTCGTAGAGGTTTTTATTCCTGACTATATTATTTCCTTGTTAATTCTGTGAATGGGATCTTTCCATGTTATATTTTTGAATTGGTTATTAGTGTAATTTACTTTGTACACTACGTACTCAGCTTGTTTTCTGAACTCTCATTAATTTTAATAGT